ACCCCGCGTGTAAACACGCCGCAGGTAAACACCCCGCAGGTAAACACCCCGCGTGTAAACACCCCGCAGGTAAACACCCCGCGTGTAAACACCCCGCGTGTAAACACCCCGCAGGTAAACACCCCGCAGGTAAACACCCCGCAGGTAAACACCCCGCAGGTAAACACCCCGCGTGTAAACACCCCTCGTGTAAACACCCCGCGTGTAAACACCCCGCAGGTAAACACCCCGCGTATAAACACCCCGCGTGTAAACACGCCGCAGGTAAACACCCCGCGTGTAAACACCCCGCGTGTAAACACCCCGCAGGTAAACACCCCGCGTGTAAACACCCCGCGTGTAAACACGCCGCAGGTAAACACCCCGCAGGTAAACACCCCGCGTGTAAACACCCCGCAGGTAAACACCCCGCGTGTAAACACCCCGCGTGTAAACACCCCGCAGGTAAACACCCCGCAGGTAAACACCCCGCAGGTAAACACCCCGCAGGTAAACACCCCGCAGGTAAACACCCCGCGTGTAAACACCCCTCGTGTAAACACCCCTCGTGTAAACACCCCGCGTGTAAACACCCCGCAGGTAAACACCCCGCGTATAAACACCCCGCGTGTAAACACGCCGCAGGTAAACACCCCGCGTGTAAACACCCCGCGTGTAAACACCCCGCAGGTAAACACCCCGCGTGTAAACACTCCGCGTGTAAACACCCCGCAGGTAAACACCCCGCGTGTAAACACCCCGTGTGTAAACACCCCGCAGGTAAACACCCCGCAGGTAAACACCCCTCGTGTAAACACCTCCCGTGTAAACACCCCGCAGGTAAACACCCCGCGTGTAAACACCCCGCAGGTAAACACCCCGCGTGTAAACACCCCGCGTGTAAACACCCCGCAGGTAAACACCCCGTGTGTAAACACCCCGCGTGTAAACACCCCGTGTGTAAACACCCCGCGTGTAAACACTTCGCGTGTAAACACCCCGCAGGTAAACACCCCGCGTGTAAACACCCCGCAGGTAAACACCCCGCGTGTAAACACCCCGCAGGTAAACACCCCGCGTGTAAACACCCCGCGTGTAAACACCCCGCAGGTAAACACCCCGCGTGTAAACACCCCGCAGGTAAACACCCCGCAGGTAAACACCCCGTGTGTAAACACTCCGCGTGTAAACACCCCGCGTGTAAACACCTCCCGTGTAAACACCCCGCAGGTAAACACCCCGTGTGTAAACACCCCGCAGGTAAACACGCCGCGTGTAAACACCCCGCAGGTAAACACGCCGCGTGTAAACACCCCGCGTGTAAACACCTCCCGTGTAAACACCCCGCGTGTAAACACCCCGCGTGTAAACACCTCCCGTGTAAACACCCCGCAGGTAAACACCCCGCGTGTAAACACCTCCCGTGTAAACACCCCGCATGTAAACACCCCGCGTGTAAACACCTCCCGTGTAAACACCCCGCATGTAAACACCCCGCGTGTAAACACCTCCCGTGTAAACACCCCGCATGTAAACACCCCGCGTGTAAACACCTCCCGTGTAAACACCCCGTGTGTAAACACCCCGCAGGTAAACACGCCGCAGCGCTGCGACATCCAAAGGAGATGGGAATCCTGCCGTGCCGTGAGGTCTTGTTTTCATGATGCATATGACAAAAACAAATCCGAATCGCCAATGTAAAATTTCCAGGTCACGTGACCAGTGTTGAGGTTTTCGCGGGTGGTGGAACTGTGGTCCTCGGTGCTGGGGTGGTGGACGAGGAGCCGAGCGGGCCTCCCGACCCCGCGGGCTGCCCGCGTCCCCCTCGTTGTGGGGGCTCTCGCGTAAGCAGCAGGCCAATCGGTGGACGGCGCCAGCGCACGTCCGATATTGCAGGAGGAGCAATGCCGGGCGTGCTAAGCCTGCACGATTGTTCTCGCGCATGAAGTTAAACTAAACTGAAAACAAAGCAATTTTTTTAAAACCTGTATAGCTCTTTTTCAGAAGCCACCTGGTCACAAAAGATAGCTCAACGAAGTGGCTCATCACGTGGAAATTTAAAGCAGCCAAATACTCTCAACGCGTGTTGTTGATGCTAAATGTGGAGGGAAAACCCGGAGCACACAAAGAAAAGTCCTCACGACCACGGGGAGAGAGAAATGCAAACTCCCAATATACAGCAGGCGTCAGGGTCGGGATCGAACACACAACCTCCTGCATACCAGGCGAGGTAGTTAACATCTCCTAGCCACCCATGGTGCCGAAGTAGTTTGTAAACATTAATCTGTGTTATTTTAAATAAAGCATGAGCAAAATATAACATTTGAAGCATTCGCATGGAACAGATGTGTTCAGAATCAATTTTGCAGACTTGCAGTCCAGAATCAATTATAATTAATGTTATTATCTTGTGGTTGGTCTCGGATTTACAAATGGCTCCCCTTCCCTTCTCTCACCACACTGTGGGGGTAGCGAAATAATTGAGGAACACTGAAGGATAATTGAGGCTTTGAAGCGTGTGATCATGGATAAGGGAGAGACTACAAGGTGAGACGTCCACTGGTGTATAGGCTGGTATTACATTGGATTATTACATTGGCAAGTACGAAATATATATTTGGTAATAAAAATAAAATATCTCAACTCTACTTTCAAATATATATCTTAAACAGAGATAAAGTCCGTAAGATTTAGGACATTAATCATTAAAGTTGGAATGGTGTTGATTTGTTTAGTACTCACTTATAAGCAGCGTATTTCTAACGGTGTCGTGGAAACGACAATGTAATTGCTTTATTGCAGTATGTACTCGTGGGCGGTTATTTCATTCACTGTTCATATTATTCATGAGGCGGTGTGGTGGTGCAGTGGTTTGCCGCAGCGCGGCCAATTCCCGGCCACTGATAAAGGGAAACCTGAGCCGGTCCGGGTCCACCCGTTCACCAACCCGCGCTGATCTTAGTCGGTGAAGCAAAGTCAAACGACCCCACGACTCACAGTGAGGGCCTTCATCCCAGCAGTGGGCAATAAGCTATTAAAGGTCGTGGATGTATGCTCGTCTCTTAAAATCACGACAATCTCCGAACCATTTCTAGTTATTTTTTTTTGTTTAAACATGCTCGACATTCGTACACCGCTGGGATCGTCTTTTCACGTTCAGTTTAGCAACACTTCCAAGCCCCTCACACGGGAGTGAGCTTGGAAGCTAATTACCCATCCCAAATTGTTTGCCTCTTTTGGGAAGTTCCCCCCCCCCCTCCCTTTTAAAATCCCTTTTTGTTTATTTAGCCCACGCCGCTAATCCCCGCGGCTCGCCATGCGTGTAAATGTACCCCGAGATTCCCAGGGGGGGGGAGGTAGAGAGAGAACGCTCCGGGCTGCGCTAGGGGTTCACACAAAGACAAAGATCCCCCGTGTAGCCTTAGATTGTTTGGGGCAAGTGCTGTTAGCGAGCAGCACTGCCTATGAGGGCCGCCACTGTGGCACACGAGGGGGGGGGAGGGGGTGGCCAGCACCACGCCCCGCCGCCTTTGTCTCCCCGGTAGCGATGTTTCTGCGCATCGCACCATTTGAGGCTGAGTCGACCTAGGGGAGGCCCAGGACCGGTTCAGATAATCGTCACCGCTGAGTGGTGGTGTTGGCCGTGAGCGGGAATCGAACTCGGGTCGCCGGGTTTGCAGCGTCACGTAGCGCTCACCATTACGCCACCGCTCCCCGCAGGGAGTGGAGGATGAGTTCACACACACACACACGGACACACACACGGACACACACACACACAGACACACACACACGGACACACACACACACGCGCGCGGACACACACACGGACACACACACACGGACACACGCACACGGGCACACGCGCGCGGACACACACACACACGGACACACGCGCGGACACACACAGACACACACACACACGCGGACACACACACACACGCGGACACACACGCGGACACACACACACACGCGAACACACACACACACGCGGACACACACGCGGACACACACACACACGCGAACACACACACGTGCTGTGTAACCTGGCGGTGCGTTCACTGTCTGGCGACACTGCCACCTGCGCGCGTCTGAGTGGGGCCCCGCGTATCCATTTACCTGTCACTCCCCGCCAGCGGGAATGCGCCGTGCATGCGCAGCTGGGAGGATGAACCCCAACCCCTCCTGCCGCCCCCGTGCCCAAACGTTGATGTAATGATGCTCTTTGGAAGAGAGAGAGAGCTTCGGACGGTTTCTTTTTTAGGAATGACGTGGGAATGCAAGGCGAGGGTCAGGAATGTCACAAACCTCTCTGTGCATGGCTTAGCTTGCTCGCTGGGGTGGGTTTTTTTTTTTGGGGGGGGGGGGGATAACAACAACTCATCCACACACCAACGTGATTTTGAGTAAGAGAGAACGAATTTGTAAAAATACATACTTCACATGCCATCTTTGCGTCACTGGCAATTGACAATTCAGTGCGTGCAATGCTTAATATTGTGGAGTGGTAATTATGCCAGTCAACACATGACGTCACAACACGTTCCGCCACTCCACCCCCCGGCCACGTGGTCTCAAACGGCATCGGGCGACGTCACTTTTGTCAGCAGGAGGAACACGTTCAGTTATTACGGAGTAGCAGTCATAGTTTGTAATAACTGAAAGTGTAAGTTGTAGTAAAACAAAAACATCTGAAAAATCGCTCTGACATTGGCCTTCAAACTCAGTAAATCCCAAAAACGTTCAAACTGAAACTCATCCCTTCTTTGTTGTGTTTCGCGATCCGCAATATAACTCTCTGTGCAGCATCAATTTACCCCACACGTGTTCTGTACTCGTACTGCTGCACCTCCGATTGCGTATTTCTTTTCGCACCTCCAAATACACGCAGTTGGCTACGTACGGTGCGAACGAAGTTCAACACACAGTGACGTGGCGGTCAAGCTGCTTGCTTTTATCGAGCCGCCGATTTATAACGTTTCCCCCAAACCACTTGTTTACTCCACCCCGCCCCGACCCAGACTTGCAGGCCTCCAACAGCTCCGTGACCCTGCGTGACCTCAACTCAAGTGACCACCGCACTCTACTGCTGGATGAGGAACGGGGCCGCTTGTTTGTGGGTGGCCAGGATGTCCTGTACTCCTTGGCGCTTGACAACATCACCCGTGGACACACGAAGGTGGGTGCACAAACCTTCTGATTGGGCGATTAAACGAGGAGGCATCATCCGGGTGTGAAACCGCAATTTCTGCCCTACCTTTTGAATACTCGTGGCAAAATGAGACGCGTCTATATATGCATTCTTTGGCGAAGAGCAAGTTTCTTAACCCCCCCGCCTCTAACCACTGAGCCGTGGTGGGATAAAGTGTGGGTGGGTATCCTGTCCTTTTCCATGATGTCAAGTTGCTGTTCTCTCTTACTGGTCATACATTGCTTTGTTTTTTTGCAATTACAGCAACCCATGTAATTAAAAAAAACAGGGTTAATTACAAAAAAAATATTTTACAAGCGGCAAGAGAGGAAGACATGACAAGGAATGTGGCAGAATACTCACGTTGGTGATGAATGCCCTCACGGGGATATTTTTGTTGAACGTTATATATAAACCGCAGTGTTACAAATCCACCAAACATTTTAAATAGCATCCCACGATAAGCCCTGTTCGGGCCGGCTTGTTAAACATGGCAGAGAAAATGGCACCCAAGGTCCTGTCAACGTGCCACTAATTGGCTGCCCGTTGACATATGTCATGGCCTTAATAATAGCCGATTGGCCCCAAGAGGGCTGTCATGCGTGGTGATTGTGCTCGGCGTTTCAGGGAACGTGAAATCAAAGCCGCTGCTGGCAGAGTGTAGCCACCAGGGGAATCTCAGATCGGGGAGACAACACGCTCGGCGCTCAATGTGGCAAACTTAGAGGTTTATAAATAAACGTCGCATTGTGAATACTGCAGTGCAGCAAAGTAAGAAACATACTGCAGACTATTAAAATATATATTGTTTTTGCCAGAGCTGTTTAAGTCTTTGTTTCAGAAGCGACCTGGCCACAAATGATAGCTCAACGAAATGGCTTATCATGTTGAAATTTACAGCCGCCAAATACTCTAAACGCACGTTGATTCTAAATGTTGGGGGAGAAAACCGGAGGACCCGGAGAAAATCTACGTGACCACGGGGAGAAAGACATACAAACTCCAAATATACTGGCGTTAGGGTCGGGATAGCACCCACGACCTCCTGCATACCAGGCGAGGTAGTTAACATCTCGCCACCGCGGCACCCCATGTGCTTTGTTATGAAATACATACTTCTTAAGGTGACCGTGGTTCTTTTAAGTTGTAAAATAAATATCATATCATGACATGAAGGTGGGAAATATTGAAAGTAGCTAGAGTATGTAAGCAAGCAGGAAATGTATGAGTCAAGTGGACGCTTTGTGCATATACTGCCCCAGCTCTATGTTGAATTATTTCACACCATACATATCACTCCGCGATGCGTGTTAGCTGTGGCCAGGGTAGCTGGGTACAATGTGCAGTGCACTAACCACACCAGATTACAGTCACTGGTTTATAAATAGAGGTTTTCCACCCTCTCTGTATATATCGATAGTTCAATGCGAACGTGCAATTTCAAGGAACTGTGTGTTGTCTTGGTGTGGTCTGGGACTCTTTTTGTTTTGCTGCCTTGCCCAAGATTACATTTGGTGTTGAGATATCGGCATGGATTGATGTACTTATGCAATTTGTACTTGTACACTTATTTTTTATATTTAGATTCATATTTAGTGACTTGCTTAGCTTTCCTATACTTTGCACTCATATCGGATTTTGTATTGTATGCGGTTGTAACATCTATGAAAAGAGCTTCATAGCTCATGGGATTTTTTTCAGTTTAAATAAAGATTCTGATGCTTTGCTCTTAATGTTGAAGTACCAATGCAATAATATTCGTCTCCGCAAGTAAATCCAATCCTGCTGAATCACATTCAGTTATTCGCATTTAAATTAGCTTGACATAAATGGGAGAGAATCCCACTAGGTTTACTACTGGAACTAGTTTTGTTACTCCTCACATATTAAAATCCCACAATGTGCGTGCCAGGTCAAGTCGTTTGGGGTGCACAACGAAATGCGGGGCTGCACCGTCGCATCGTACAAGTGCACAGCAGAATTCCCGCACCCTCCCTGTTAGGGCTATCACACTCATTACGCACAAAGTGCCTGCCACAAAAGAACCACAACACCTTGCTGAGCTCGTCAAGGAGAGTAAGCCATCACGCAAACTCCAGTCATCCTCGAAGGAGCAGCGGCTTCTCGCTCGCCATCGAACCGCATCGTGCGATTTCAGATGCGCTCCCGCGGCCGTCTGGAACGCTCTTGCTTCCGATATTAGGAAGCCACTGGAGCTGTGCACTTTTAAGTCATCTAGACTGAAAACTCATTTCCTGAGAACTTATTTTGTGTTTAGTTTCTCCTTCCCCCATACCTCCGATTGACATGGCTGGCTGCGTACGGTGCAAAAGAAGTTCAACACACATAGGGTTAGAGTGACCCGGGCGTTCACGTCCGTGAGTGGATGATTGAGAATGTCCTTCCCGCAGCTTGACAAACAGGTTTTTACGTGAGCACCGCCAACAGACGAGAACTTCCCCGTTGGGCAGGGAAACATTTTGGCACATAAAAAAATATATTAAACAACTTTTAAGTAGCTGACTGCAGTCATGGGTGTTGATATCTGCCCAGCACATCAGCTGTTCAAACACTGATACTTTATATATATATTTTTAAAAGGAACATTGCAGTTGCTGAGATTTGCAACCTCTTGGTGCCCGATGATGGTCCACCGATGCAGAAATCACAACCGAGGTCTCTTCGAGTGACCTCTGGTCTACACAACAGGGGGCAGAACTTTCCCGTCCGCCCGACCAAAGAGTGCAAATGTCATGAAATGGGAGGACAGCTAAAAACGTTCTCACCGCTCTCATGTTTGAGCCAAATCAAGTGCGGAAACACAGGCGTTTGGCTAGATTCAGACCGAAGAAGTTGCAACGGTACCAGGTCGGTGTGTGTCACCAATGCCGTGGTGTCCGATCGTTCTCAAATGATTATTTTTCTCCACCCGCAATCAGTTTATGTGCACGCGGTGTTTTATGTCACGGTGGCGCTTTGTAAATTCACCCTGTTCATATTTGCGTTGCTATTGCCCTTGAAAAGGACCCGTCTGAGTCTATTTACACTCCGCTTTAAATTCAAGGATTTGATTGCTGTTTTGACACGAGCAAAATGATGGGAAATTTTGAGAAGGGAAGCCTTTGATCCGCGTTCCGTACAACGCGGATGTCGTTGTAGTCACCTCGACCGCTCTGACGAGCCTCCGCAGCTCACGGTACCTCACGGTACCTCACGGTACCTCACGGTCCGTGTCAGGACTATACCAGCGTCGTCGCAGCATTGGGTTCGAATCTGGTCTCAACATTGGTGTCCAGGTACATCGGGGTGATCATCTCAGCATTATTATTGACTATCAGAAAATAAATGAAACTGCATTATTGTTTTTTAATTCAAATTAAATTACCTCGGCATTTAGACTTTGCATGTCTCTCTCCCTGTGGCCGCGTGGAATTTTCTCCCGGTCCTCCACATTTACAATCAACGCACGTGTCGAGTATTTGGCTTCCATGAATGTCCACGTAATAAGCCACTTCGTTGAGCTATCATTTGTGGCTAGGTTGCTTCTGAAAATGAGCTATATAGCTCAGTGGGCCTTATTAACTGGTAAAATAAATATTGTAAAATAAAATAGTACACGTGTTCCAATGGGCTTCAAATACAAAATAATGACTTCTCCCACTTGGACAAAATTCAAAAACAAAAGCAATGCACGTTTAATTGGGTTCACAGTTTGGATTATTTTCGCATCACTGTCCCTGATGTGTACCAGCGTGTGGAGGCTTGTAAGAGACTACAGCGGGTATCTTTCCCATTCTATTTTTGCTTCAGATTTCTTGGCCGGCGTCGGATGAGAAGATGCTGGAATGCCAGCTGGCTGGGAAGGACGTGACGGTACGGAGAGCCCACACAATATCCCGCAAAACCACACACCATGCTGTCCCTCATCGTTAGTCGCCGGTGAGACAAATAAAAAAAAGGTGCCTGCCCTACCCTGTTCTGTGCGATTTTCATTTCAGAGTTTGCTTAACACTGTTATGAATAATATTCCCCCAACTCTAAAGCAGACCCCGTTCAAGAAAGTGCCCATCGAAGTACATCAATGCTCAAACGAGCACTGGGAATTACTCCATCCCCCTGGAGGCCCCTGAGACACCGAGACAAGTGTAACAGTGTAGCAGTGGTGTGCACGTTTGTCAGATTTGGAGCTTGATTATCCGGCCCCCACCACGGGCAGTGCCTGGTGGCATCGTTTTGGCAGCATCTTCCAGGCCTCCACAGACCACACCGGAGGGTTCTATTCGTTTCTCTCTCGGTGCAGTGAGCATCACAATTTCGCTAACGCACTGAACGAACTGTGTTGTCTTGAAAGTCTCCACCGCCGGAACTTTCTGCAACACCACAATGTGGCCAAATGTTTACCCTTGTCCTGCAAACCAACACGAATATGTCATGTAGCTGCTCACCCCGAGCTCTCATTGCTCTGATAGTGCATTGTACGCCTTTTGGCGTCCTCTGGGGTCTAACACCGTTTGAGACGAGGCTGCAAAGTAAGCTGTCTCTGATGTCGACCAATCAGTTTCAAAGACAATGCATATATTATCAGAGTATGTTTTTTGTTTGCATTCTGACCGCAAGTATTGTGGTTAATGCAGACATGATTCCATGTAATAGGTTTCAGTTTGGTGTTTTAACATCTTAACACCTGTTTTGTTGCCAGAAAAAAGGTGAGATTCCTATTCTCAAGACGAATATGTTTGAGCATATATCATGATGCCAGGGATGCATCAGGTTGGAAGCAGCGTCCTATGGAAACATTGGTTACGGAAACGTTCAGATCGCCTGCCCGGTCTGAAAACTTCAAATTTCAACTTATGTGGGAGACAGTAAGCCTAAGTACATAAAAAAAATAATTATAGGTTCCAGTGGGAGAGCTATGAACATCGATACGCAAAGAATAGAGTATGCAGTTGTATAATGTATAATGATATCTCACACATGAGACTGGGTATACTCTGTGGGATCATTATTTGTAAATTTAATTCCAAAACCACCTTTAAAGGATTAATTGGCAAGCATGCATGCAGTGCTTCAAAAGTTAATATGCTTTCACCCATGGCAGTACATTTCGATTTTAATTTCAATTTTACCAGAATGTATTTTATTTAATGCAAAATCTGTGTATGAGAAATATTTAGGGAGTGGTGAGGCGGTGGTTAGCGCGCTTAATTTGTGGTGGTTAGCGCGCTTAATTCCTGCTCAAGGCCAACACCAGGATCCGAACTGGTCATGGGCCTCCCCTAGGTCGATATCAGCCTCAAATGAATACATGGTGTGGTGTGTAAACATCGCCCCTGGGGAGACAGAGGTGTCCAGGTGTGGTGCTGGCCACCCACCCCCTCTTGTGCCGATCCGGCCTTCATAGGTGCTACTCGTTAACAGCACTTGTTCCGACAGTCTGTGAAGGCTACACGGGGACTCTTTGCCTCTGTCTTGTGTGTGACACCACGTTGCATTGCTGCTGTGCACAGAAGGACTGCGGGAACCACGTCCGCGTGCTGCACCATTACAACCAGACGCACCTCTACACCTGCGGCACGGGTGCCTTCAACCCCGTCTGTGCCTTCCTGCGTGTTGGCCGCCGCTCCCAGGTAGGGTGGTCACCTGTTCCCGCCTGACCCGGACAGTCCGGGTCAGCCGGGACAGTCCGGGAATTGGCACCTGCGTTCGGGTGGCAGGAATTGAGGGCGCTGCCAAAGGTCGTCACATGACGTATTGGCGGTACATCGGTGCAGCATAACACACCGGTCTTCATAAAGCAGTCTGACGATCTTCTTTGGTTCTTTCGGGAAAAGTCACGTAGAATGAGAATAAAATAATAAATTGATAAAATAAAATAACACAATAATATTCTCACGACGTTTCGGCCACAACACAAGCGGCCTTCATCAGGTGAAGGGACGAGACTGTCTGGAGGACAGCGCTGGAGTGAAAAAGCCACGCTCAGATCGCGACCTTTAAGCTGTGTGAGAAGAAACAAAGCGACTTGACAAAGGAATTAGCATATAATTTAGCATTGAAATGGCTGAGGCACCTCTTGACAAAGGAATTAGCATAGAATTTAGCTTTAAATCGAAATTCAGTCTGACGATGTCGCTGTTACCCTTGAGCGAGCTGTAGACTCTCCATCAGCAGTTGCCCTTAGATTCAGCAGCTGCTTTCCCCATTCGAACGTGGCGGTAGTGACACCACGTCCGCCAAGACATTTTTTACTTCCATAGATTAATCGAGGAACCGTCCGACCAAGTCTAGGGCACGAGGAGTAAAATCTTGCCTTTGGAACGCGGAGCAGCCAATCGTCTTCATGGCTGGGTGCTGCTGTACGGCAGCAGACCGTGGAGCTTCGTGTTCCGCCTGTTCATGTAAACGTTCGTCTTCCGACTGCTTCGCCAGCACGAGAACCGATTTTTTACCGTAAATTATTTTTTTATTGATCCAACCACGGGTGGTGTACAACTTCCGCGACAGGCGAGTGGTGCATAGTGGGATAGGCGGCTCGGACAGACAACCAGCGCGGACGTGTAGGACCGTAGCGTTATGCGGTTCGTGCGTCAGATCCATTTTCGTCGGGGAGGGAAGGGGGAAAGAGGGGGGGAGTCAGTTCCATTCCAAGTTTAATCAAGTAAACTCAGGGTCTACGAGAACCGATGTTGATGCACACCGGGGTTGCGAATCGCGCAAAAATAAATATTGTGGAAATTGTTTTGCTTTCTTTTAATACCGTGCACCGGTGTACCGCCAACACGTCCAATTGCTATATCGTGTGAAGACCGATACGTGAAATGGCAACACCTTTAACACAGATACCAATTATGAAACTACAATTACTGTCGTACTAAAATAGGAACAATATACAATAAAAATAAATAATTTGGCCTTAATGCCCGAGGCAAATAGTTACATTTAGGCTTTTGATTCTTAGCAATGAACGATAATGTTTTATGTTCATGGAGTTAATGCTAAAGGCACGCGACTCAGAACTAAGACTCATCTTCTTTGAAAGCAACTAAGACTCTTGGGATTTTGTAAGGTTCAGTGTTAATGTAAGATCCATTGTTAATGTAAGGTCAAGTGTTAATGTAAGGTCCAGTGTTAATGTAAGGTCCAGTGTTAATGTAAGGTCCAGTGTTAATGTAAGGTCCAGTGTTAATGTAAGGTCCAGTGTTAATGTAAGGTCCAGTGTTAATGTTAGGTCCAGTGTTAATGTAAGGTCCAGTGTTAATGTAAGGTCCAGTGTTAATGTAAGGTCCAGTGTTAATGTAAGGTCCAGTGTTAATGTAAGGTCCAGTGTTAATGTAAGGTCCAGTATTAATGTAAGGTCCAGTGTTAATGTAAGGCTCAGTGTTAATGTAAGGTCCAGTGTTAATGTAAGGTCCAGTGTTAATGTAAGGTCCAGTGTTAATGTAAGGTCCAGTGTTAATGTTAGGTTCAGTGTTAATGTAAGGCTCAGTGTTAATGTTAGGTTCAGTGTTAATATTAGGTTCAGTGTTAATGTTAGGTCCAGTGTTAATGTAAGGTCCAGTGTTAATGTAAGGTCCAGTGTTAATGTTAGGTTCAGTGTTAATGTTAGGTTCAGTGTTAATGTTAGGTCCAGTGTTAATGTTAGGTTCAGTGTTAATGTTAGGTCCAGTGTTAATGTTAGGTCCAGTGTTAATGTAAGGTCCAGTGTTAATGTAAGGCTCAGTGTTAATGTAAGGTCCAGTGTTAATGTAAGGCTCAGTGTTAATGTAAGGTCCAGTGTTAATGTAAGGTCCAGTGTTAATTCCTTAGGCTCGTAGAGTCAGGCCAAAACACTCTCTAGATTCTTAAGGATTAGTGGTTGGTTAAAAAAAAACATCAGCGAGTTTGCAAACCAAGGGAATATTAATCAGTGACAGCTTAGAGACCAGTTTAACTTAGCGTTTAATACCACAATGCACATACACGTACAAAAAAACAACCAACCCAAAAACCTTTAAATATCCTTACCACAATGTCATCTTCGTCCCATAGCAAGACACAATGAGCGGTGCCTACGTGTTACCGAGTCTCCACATCTGGGGCGATAAAAACCTCGTAGCCAACGGAGACCAGCGAGCTCCAGCCCAAGGGGATTCTCAACCAGTTGCTGTCTGCTGCTGCTGCTGATCCTGGCGTTGTTGCTGCTGCTGGCGCTGGCGTTGCTGCTGTATTACTGTATTACGCAGTGCCGGATCATCCAAGTAGCAAAAGTAGCTGCACACGCTGCGGGCCCCGCACTTTAAAGGGCACCGCGCTAAATGCTTTCAAGCTATCAATTCCGGTTCAGTGATTCTGCACTTGCTCTATTACCATAGTACTAAACTGCCTTCAATTTTTATGAACGACTAGGTGTTTAAGAATATAGATTTGTCGTATTATCTGGCTGTATAGCAAATAAAAACATGCACTTACTTTACTATGAAAGCTATAAATGTATGGTTTAATATTTATATTTATTTATTTAGGGCCCCTTTATAACATATGCGACAGGCCCCGCACTAGCTTAATCCGGCACTGGTGTTACACCCACCTTGAGTAGCAGCCTCTTTCTCTGACAGTCGCCCACCCGGGAACAGCTCCGAATCCCTCCGCGCAAACCGACCAGGGGGTTCGCATGGGAATAACAACAAACGCATTGAAGGCGGTAAAGTGTACTTTAAGGTCGAGGGCAAGTTTACTTTTAAACCAAGAGGGCAGCCCATCCTATGGACAGGGTGAATTTAAGCCGTCAGTTCTTCCCTACCTAACGCACCCATCATCTTAACTTGCTACCTCCCTGATTTGCCCACACCACCATCACTTTCCTCACTCACCCATGTCCGCAACTCCCCCATCCCGTCCCATCGTGCTCACCCCCCAATGCGCACGGTATTGTTAAATTTGACTGCCTACCCAACACGCACGCCACCTCACCCAACCTACTTGCCCTTCATGCCACGTTCCCCTCCCATTGTCTCCACCTCACCTCCCTAACCCAATTAGACGGCGTTGTCCCCAAGCAGTCTAATTGCATCGCCCCCACCCCCCGATTTCCCTGGCCTGGTTACAAATTGACTGGCTTTAATTGCTTGGGTCTGTGTCTTCTGCGATTAATCAAGCCCCCTTTACCTTGCCCATTCCTCTTAACCGTAACGAGCCAAGGCACTGTACGAAACGATTTCAAAGACTTTTCTGCTCGATGTTGGCCGTGTTCACAGATGGCTCCTGCTTGCTTGTCGGGACCCAGTGCGTACCCAAACCGCTGGGTAACCCACTGGGTACTGACTGGATATGCACTGGGCACCCAAACCACTGGGTGATCACTGGGTACTGACTGTGTTCCAGCTGGGTACCCACACCACTGGGCACCCACTGGGTACTGACTGGGGACCCGCTGGGTAACCCACACCCCTGTGCACCCACTGGGTACTGACTGTGTTCCAGCTGGGTACCCACACCACTGGGTACCCACTGGGTACTGACTGGGGACCCGCTGGGTAACCCACACCCCTGGGCACCCACTGGGTACTGACTGTGTTCCAGCTGGGTACCCACACCACTGGGTACGCACTGAGTAACCACTGGGTGCTGACTGAGTAACCACTGGGTACTGACTGAGTAACCACTGGGTGCTGACTGAGTAACCACTGGGTGCTGACTGAGTAACCACTGGGTACTGACTGAGTAACCACTGGGTACTGACTGAGTAACCACTGGGTACGCACTGAGTAACAACTGGGTACTGACTGAGTAACAACTGGGTACTGACTGAGTAACCACTGGGTACTGACTGGGTAACCACTGGTTACTGACTGAGTAACCACTGGGTACTGACTGAGTAACCAGTGGGTATTGACTGAGTAACCACTGGGTGCTGACTGAGTAACCACTGGGTACTGACTGAGTAACCACTGGGTACTGACTGAGTAACCACTGGGTACTGACTGAGTAACCACTGGGTACTGACTGAGTAACCACTGGGTGCTGACTGAGTAACCACTGGGTGCTGACTGAGTAACCACTGGGTACTGACTGAGTAACCACTGGGTACTGACTGAGTAACCACTGGGTACGCACTGAGTAACAACTGGGTACTGACTGAGTAACAACTGGGTACTGACTGAGTAACCACTGGGTACTGACTGGGTAACCACTGGTTACTGACTGAGTAACCACTGGGTACTGACTGAGTAACCAGTGGGTATTGACTGAGTAACCACTGGGTGCTGACTGAGTAACCACTGGGTACTGACTGAGTAACCACTGGGTACTGACTGAGTAACCACTGGGTACTGACTGAGTAACCACTGGGTATTTACTGAGTAACCACTGGGTGCTGACTGAGTAACTACTGGGTACTGACTGAGTAACCACTGGGTACTGACTGAGTAACCACTGGGTACTGACTGAGTAACAACTGGGTACTGACTGAGTAACCACTGGGTACTGACTGAGTAACCACTGGGTACTGACTGAGTAACCACTGGGTACTGACTGAGTAACCACTGGGTACGCACTGAGTAACCACTGGGTAACCCACACCACTGGGTACTGAGTGAGTAACCACTGGGTACTGACTGAGTAACCACTGGGTGCTGACTGAGTAACCACTGGGTACTGACTGAGTAACCACTGGGTACTGACTGAGTAACCACTGGGTACTGACTGAGTAACCACTGGGTACTGACTGAGTAACCACTGGGTACTGACTGAATAACCACTGGGTACTGACTGAGTAACCACTGGGTACTGACTGAGTAACCACTGGGTACTGACTGAGTAACCACTGGGTTCCGACACTCAGGCCACACCTGAATGAATCAAAAAACCAGTCCAGTGTTATTTTCAGTAAACAGTCTTTTCAGTATACAGTATATATCCTTGTCGTGATTAAATGAAGCATATTTTTTGCACACTACGTCCACTGTGGATTCCCAGTCCACGATGGCAATGTGTGTCCATGCTCCAAAAAGCAGTCGGTTAATTACCAACAACGGAGAAGCTCGTTGGGCCTGGGGGGTTCCAGCAATTGTACCGTGTTCCATGTCGTGTTGTTGTTCCATGCCGTGTTCCACTTTTACCGTGTTCCGTGCCGTGTTGTTGTTCCATGCCGTGTTCCATGCCGTGTTGTTGTTCCATGCCGTGTTGTTGTTCCATGCCGTGTTCCATGTCGTGTTGTTGTTACATGCCCTGTTCCACTTTTACCGTGTTCTGTGCCGTGTTGTTGTTCCATGCCGTGTTCCACTTATGCCGTGTTCCATGCCGTGTTGTTGTTCCATGCCGTGTTCCACTTATGCCATGTTCCATGCCGTGTTGTTGTTCCATGCCGTGTTTCACTTGCACCGTATTCCGTGCAGGATCAGCAGTTCAGCCTCGAGCGGCATTCCCTGGAGAGTGGGCGAGGGAAAAGCCCCTATGACCCCAACCAGCTGACCGCCTCTACTCTTGTAGGTAAGTGAAATTTAGTTGCTATCCAGGATATTAAATATTGGAACTCATGAGGCCAACCAACAGTCATCGCTTCAGGATTTGTCTTCTGATGATTGCAGGAAGGGGTATACTGATTAACTTGTGCTCCAAAAATAAGGGTTTCTTGAGTAATTTTCACAAACAGCAAGTGAGTACTTGCGATTCATTGCATATTTTTTCACCTTAATTTGAATTACTCAGTCCATGCAGCAGGACGTTGACTTGAATGTGTTCCCCGACAACCCCCGTCATGACATGAACGTGACAGTAATCGCGACATTGCAGCTAACTATTTGGTGATTCCTGGTTAAACCAAAGTCAAATTCGGATGGGTGTGCTGCCCGGCACGACTGCCTGGCACGGCTGCCCGCCGTGGCTGCCCGGCGCGGCTGCCCGCCGCGGCTGCCCGCCGTGGCTGCCCGCCGTGGCTGCCCGCCGTGGCTACCCGGTTGCCTTGTACGGCTGCCTGGCACGGCTGCCCGGCACGGCTGCCCGGCTGCCCGGCACGGCTGCCCCCCGTGGCTGCCCGCCGTGGCGACCCGGCGCGGCTGCCCGGCTGCCTGGCACGGCTGCCCGCCGTGGCTGCCCGCCGTGGCTACCTGGCGCGGCTGCCCGGCTGCCCGGCTGCCTGGCACGGCTGCCCGCCGTGGCTGCCCGCCGTGGCTACCCGGCGTGGCTGCCCAGCTGCCTGGCACGGCTGCCCGCCGTGGCTGCCCGCCGCGGCTGCCCGCCGTGGCTACCCGGCGCGGCTGCCCGGCTGCCCGGCGCGGCTGCCCGGCTGCCCGGCACAGCTGCCCGGCACGGCTGCCCGGCTCGCACCTGGCTGCTGCTGCTGCTGCCGTGCGTCTCACCGCCGCACTTTGTTTCGCACCACAAGTCTCAGTGTACGTTTTTCGGCAAGCGCCGGTTTCACATTCACAGCCCCGTCGGTCGGAACGTCACGCGGACGCAGCGGATATGTGACTTTCAACGGCAATTGATTTCCTACACACGTAATGATTTGCAGATAAAATATATATTTTTTGAATCGTAAGTGCAACGAATCGAGTACGCGCTTTTGTTAAAGGTCAACGCACAGGTTCACGTGGGGCAGCCCACCTACGCGCCACTGACGAGCCGACGCTGACAGCGCGCCGCGTGCTGTACGACAAACTCCCCGTGGCTGTGCCCACATCAGAATTCCGACGTCGCGGTCTCCTGCCGCGATTCTCGCTTCACAAAATAACGGAATGCAAAGCACCCGACGGTCATCCACATTTGAATTAAAGAATGGAGAACGCTTCAGGCACCGCCGACGACGCCGGTGATTTGGCCAAGCGATTTGCCAAGGCGAACTTCCCTCCGCGTCGCTTGCAGGAGAGGAGCTGTACGCCGGTGTCACCTCGGACTTCATGGGCCGTGATTTCGCGATCGTGCGCACGCTGGGCCGCAGGATGCCCGTTCGCACGGAGCAGCACGACTCGCGCTGGCTGAGCGGTAAGGCAGCGGCTGCTGATGCTGTTGATCCTGCTGCTGGTGCTGCGGGTGCTGCTGGTGCTGGTTCTGTTGGTCCTGCTGCTGGTGCAGCAGTTCATGCTGCTGGTCCTGCTGGTCCTGCTCGTTCTGCTGGTGCTGCTGTTGGTGCTCATTCTGCTGGTGCTGCTGGTCCTGCTGCTAGTGCAGCAGTTCATGCTGCTGGTTCTGCTGATGCTGCTGTTGGTGCTCATTCTGCTGGTGCTGCTGGTCCTGCTGCTAGTGCAGCAGTTCATGCTGCTGGTCCTGCTCATTCTGCTGGTGCTGCTGTTGGTGCTCATTCTGCTGGTGCTGCTGGCCCTGCTGGTGCTGCAGTTCACGCTGCTGCTGCTGCTGGTGAATGCTCACAATGATACCAGTTGGGACACAGCTGCCGTCTTAACAGAACCTCGACTGATTCGTGTTGCATGGGCGGCAGGGTGGCTCGCAGGAAGAATCGCCTGGGTTCGATTCTCGATTAGAGCTGATTTCCGTCTGAAAGTTTGTATGTTCTCCCACTGTTTCGCATTGTTCTTCCTACAGGTTCTCTGGTTCCCCCTCCCATAGCTGAGGTGATGCACTGGAACTGGTGCTGGAAAACGACCAGCAAATTACTTATTTGAGATTTCGCGTGGCAACGTCGCAACATGCCGCGGAAGAAAAAAAACACCCCTGGGCAACTAAGCGCATTCATAATAATAATAATAGTGCAGAGATATTGATGGTCTCAGTTTAGTTTCCAATGACCGCACAAAAAACCCCAGCAAATTAAATTTGGCTGTGCACTTATTCTGGAAATATATATCCGAATCTGATAATTTGTGGTTTTGTAGCAATAGCTATTACAATAGCTTCCATTGCAATGAAATGTATAACTTATCGGAGCTAATAAGACATGGAATACGCACGGACATCTCGTCGTGTGGAACATTACAAGCTATATTAATACTTGACCCGGGTCAAAGACACGTAATACAGTCGTGTGTCATTTAGTGCCGCGTCAAACCCTGCAAATCCTGCGTAGATCCTGTTCAAATGCCATTGTTAAACTTGAGATCTGCACATAGCCACGCTAACACCCTTATTAATGAATTGAACGTACATGCAATTTAACCGAATGCTATTTTTATGGAAGTGGTGGACCATATTATCAGAGTATTCTAATCATATATAGCCTTGATTGATAAAACTACTAATTCCAGCTGCCATTGAAGATTTAGAAAAAAATGTAAATTCAATCAAATGTTGTGTTTTGGTCATGTGCTTCATAAATGCGGTCTTAAATATTTAAACGGTACAGTTTACGTAGCTCGACTTTTTTCGAGATATTTTGTTTACCTGGACACAAGCGTCGCAGAATTAAAGACGACTACCCTTCGATTGTGATTTAGTTATGACGAGAGGATGTGGGATGTCGAGGGTAGGTGGTGATGCGGAGTGAACATGACAGGCAGGAGGAGCAGGGAGAGCAACGTGAGGCACCAGAAAGCCACTCTCAAATTCCTAAACTCTCTCAGAGGACCAGGGGGCGGCTCCTGCACGCTCGTCGACCGACGTGGGCGCAGGAGGGAGCATGCGTGGCGCTCAATATGGGAAATAGAGTTCCTCGCGGCAGAGATCGGGCCAGAGGAGAAGTGTATGCCCCGCACGCGACGCGGCCATAGGGGAATAGATGGGGGCAAATGTGAAAGGCAAAGCCTCCGCTGTTGGCCAGCGTCAGTGCATCCTCTCAGGGCTGCGCAGGGATTAGCCTCGTCACAGCCGACCCAAGATAACGCTGTGACGTACGGGGTCACACCACCACCGCGGCGGGGTTGTTATCGCGCCAATCGCCGACTCCCGGGGCGAGACCCTGTGCCCGTCAGTGGTGGGGAGGATGAGTGGGTGAGTGGGTGGCCGGCGCGCATCCGCTGTGCCCCCAGCACACTCCCACCCTCATGGGAACCGGTCACGCGTCAGTTATTGATCTCATTTTACAGTGGGTCCTGAACTTGGGTCATGGTCCGCATTATCGGCTCCACGATGCCTTTCCTCTGATGTGTGTCACTGTTGTGGTGATGGTGTTCTTAGAAAGAACAAGTGGCTTGTGCGATACCCTTATCTGAGGAAAGCATTACATCGTTCAGTAACGGCAGCAGAACTTCATAAATTATATCGTGTACATTGTGTTGGCTGGAAATTACGTGGCATACATGTATTCCAGTAGAGTACGGAATCTTTCCAGGAGTAGTATTCCCTGCATGGCTGAACAATTGCACGTAAACACCCCAAGCTAATAACTAGCAAACACGTGTCAGTATATGTAACAAATAGCGGTTCACTTGAAAATATTCATCCTTCCATTACCGATGCACGTAATATATGATGGGCTACATCTGGATATTGAAAACACGACGAGCAACATGTCTCAGTTGAATGTAAATGCAATCATACGCATTCCACTTCTCGCACGTGGACTCTTGGATACGTTTGGCATCCTGGCCCTATGGCACAAGCGCCGGCAGAGGTCCGCTCGACGTCCCTTGCTGCGACAGATCTTCCAGCGTTACACGGAGCAGCAAAGATGGCAGTGGGTTTTGTGTGAATATTTTCTGTAATCCTCATACAGGTTTTCTTGGGTTAGATCGCGTTAATATATAAATGTGTCGTTAAACCCGCCACCACCCGACAACCGAGAAGTAAGGTTTGTCATGTAAACAGAACGTGGCCAATTCGTCAATAGTGCAGCACACCGGTGTGTTGGAGAGCAAAGCCACAACATTTACAATCTGAGTACGACGTTTCGCCAGTAATCACAACTAGCTTCATCAGGCGACAGCCAGAATTGTAGAGAAACTATCCTGTTTCGTTAGATGGATTAGATGGCATCACTTGCGAGCCCTTCTTGAGCGATGGGTATCAATTGCCGCTTGGGTTATTTATATGGTAATCAACGTACATTATGCACGCCCATTGTTTTCGTACCTCCTGTTGATCGTGTGTACTAAAATAGCCGTAGCTGTTACTATTTGTTGTCACCCCTCTGCCTCTACACGAGTGTCACCCCTCTGCCTCTACACGTGTCACCCCTCTGTCTCTACACGAGTCACCCCTCTGCCTCTACACGAGAGTCACCCCTCTGCCTCTACACGAGTCACCCCTCTGTCTCTACACGAGTGTCACCCCTCTGCCTCTACACGAGAGTCACCCCTCTCTCTCTACACGAGAGTCACCCCTCTGCCTCTACACGAGAGTCACCCCTCTCTCTCTACACGTGTCACCCCTCTGCCTCTACACGAGAGTCACCCCTCTGTCTCTACACGTGTCACCCCTCTGTCTCTACACGAGAGTCACCCCTCTCTCTCTACACGTGTCACCCCTCTGCCTCTACACGAGTGTCACCCCTCTCTCTCTACACGAGAGTCACCCCTCTGTCTCTACACGAGTGTCACCCTTCTGTCTCTACACGAGTGTCACCCCTCTGCCTCTACACGAGAGTCACCCCTCTGTCTCTACACGAGTGTCACCCCTCTGCCTCTACACGAGAGTCACCCCTCTGTCTCTACACGAGAGTCACCCCTCTCTCTCTACACGAGTGTCACCCTTCTGTCTCTACACGAGTGTCACCCCTCTCTCTCTACACGAGAGTCACCCCTCTGTCTCTACACGTGTCACCCCTCTGCCTCTACACGAGAGTCACCCCTCTCTCTACACGAGAGTCACCTCTCTCTCTACACGTGTCACCCCTCTGCCTCTACACGAGAGTCACCCCTCTGTCTCTACACGAGTGTCACCCCTCTGTCTCTACACGAGAGTCACCCCTCTGTCTCTACACGAGTGTCACCCCTCTGTCTCTACACGAGTGTCACCCCTCTCTCTCTACACGAGTGTCACCCCTCTCTCTCTACACGAGTGTCACCCCTGTCTCTCTACACGAGTGTCACCCCTCTGTCTCTACACGAGTGTCACCCCTCTGCCTCTACACGAGTGTCACCCCTCTGCCTCTACACGAGTGTCACCCCTCTGCCTCTACACGAGAGTCACCCCTCTCTCTCTACACGAGAGTCACCCCTCTGCCTCTACACGTGTCACCCCTCTGCCTCTACACGTGTCACCCCTCTCTCTCTACACGAGTGTCACCCCTCTGCCTCTACACGAGAGTCACCCCTCTCTCTCTACACGTGTCACCCCTCTGTCTCTACACGAGAGTCACCCCTCTGTCTCTACACGTGTCACCCCTCTGCCTCTACACGAGTGTCACCCCTCTGTCTCTACACGAGAGTCACCCCTCTCTCTCTACACGAGAGTCACCCCTCTCTCTCTACACGAGAGTCACCCCTCTCTCTCTACACGAGTGTCACCCCTCTGTCTCTACACGAGTGTCACCCCTGCGGTGGACTTCGAGGTGGACGAGTGCCTTGACGGGGGGGCTAGAACCGAGCTGTCACCGCTGAGATCGTGGTTTCAGCTCTGGTCAGCCATCCGTGGTCGACTTGGGGGTCCCTCAGCGTAGCGAGTGGATAGCTTAGCCGGTTTACAAAATGATTGCATGAAACGTCGTCATGTCATTGTTGGGTTTATTCTTCTTCTTCTTTCCCCCCCACCACATAATTCAGAATAATCCGGCTCTCATTGACGAGATTATAATCACACGTGAATACTGGTTTGCGTTGTATAATACCACAGTTACACTCTCGGCAGGTCACGTGTGGTGGGGTAGGAGCGTTGGTTCCTGCCACATTTTCCAAGACGTTTGGCCAGCATGGAAGAGTAGGCCAAGTACCCTCTTGAGAGTGGTTTTCTAGAACCCCGCTCTAGCGGAGGGCCTTTCCACCAGGGGTGGCACGTTCACGCAATTGCGATGCTGCAATTTCGGACTTTTCCGTCCTTGTGTAATTGCCACATTTTTTATTACCATTTTGCAAATAACGCGATTCCTGTGTGGCGTGCGATTTGCCGGCCGTTCGTACGCAGAGTTCGTCCCTGCATGCACTTGTTGTGGTCTAGCGTTAGATCAAACAGGAGGAGGATTTCTCCACAACTCGGGCTGTCGCCTGACGAGGCCGCTTGCAATTACCGGCGAAACGTCAGTGTACTCGAATTGTAAATGTCGTGGCTGTATTCTCCAATGCACAACTGGTTGGTGCTGAACGAGTAACCAATTGGCACGTTTTGTTTTACGTGACAAACCTTTAAAGATTGGGCGCGTCGAGTGGTGGCGGGTTTAACGACACATTTATATTCGTGCGATCCAACCCCCCCAAAAAAAACCCCTCTATCATGGAATATCACTGGGCACGTGTTCAACTGACGTCCAATGCAAATGTATGTATGTGTTTGTTTGATTTCCCCCAGAGCCGAAGTTCATCGCAGCGCACAGAGTTCCCGAGAGCAATGGCTATGAGGACGACGACAAGGTCTACTTTTTTTTCCGCGAAACGGCGATGGAGTCGGAGCACCCAGGCAAGGCGGTGTACTCGCGCATCGGGCAGGTGTGCCGGGTAAGTCCTCGCAGACCCGCGCTGCTCGTGAAGCTGCCCGTGGCGATGGCACCACTTTGCGGAAGACGACTTGGCGGGGAGTGACGGGATCAGGTAGAATGAGAAGTGAAATCAGAAACAACTCGGAGCGGGGGGGGGTGGGGAGATGCAATGGGCGAGGAGAGAAAGCGCCGAGGAACGCTGCGAGTACCCTCGACTCCGTTAACCGCTGATTTTGTGTTCCGTGCCTTCTCTGTGAGCCTGTAAAGCTACATTGTGTCACGTGCACACAGCCCCTTGTCAATCCACTGCTGCATGAAGGCCTCCCCGCGTCCTGTCAGCCGTACCATTAATTTGGCCATACTTCACCACACTGGTCAGTGTGTGATGGTGAAGGCAGAGGCCACGGAGATGTGTAAGCAAAAGGAGTACTGCACAGTGTAGTCTCCAACACACCGGTGTCCTGAACTCGTAACGAATTGTCACGCTTTGTTGGCGTGACAAACCTTACGACTTGGCTGTGACTGGTGCTGGTGGGTTTAACGACATTTACATTCACGCTATCTAACCCAACAAAAAAACTCATGGACGATATTGGTCAAGAAAGCCAAGTCCGTGTTGAAGTACTGCACAGTCCTGCACTGCCCTCTGCTGGTCACCAACCCGAGCACTGGTCAACAACAACCGCCATTCGCCACTAGGTGGCGGTGACGCCACCACGGCGCTTGTACCAGGCTAGGTGCACTTTAAGGCCACTTGTAGTGTCGAACGCCCGCTGGCAGGAGGCCACGGGACAGACCCAGGCACCACGGTTCGACTGACTGAGATGACTGACCTGCGCCCCTACTGTGCCAACTGGTTGTGTTTTATCCGCCCGACGCTCCGATCGTTGTTGTGAGCGTTGTCCAGATACAGCAACCACTCGCCACTGGTGTTTGATGTGGCCCCAGACTTGGATGAGCGCTGTGTAAACTGAGCATTGTGTGCAATGAAACAAACTCCCACCTGTTTGTCCACGTACCATTACAATGATGGACTAAAATATGTTTTATTTTTAAGTAGAGATGGAAGGAAGTTTATTTTATTACCTGGAAATTAAAGACAAAAATGATCAACATGAGGATTTGCAGCGTTTTTGTCAGGTGATGTCTTTGTTACAAACCCGGCAACTCGAGTTCGATTCCTGCTCACGGCCAACACCAGTGACGATTATCTGTACTCCGTCCTGGGCCTCCCCTTGGTCGACTCAGCTTCAAATGAGTGCCTGGTGCGCGGTGTGTAAAACATCACCACTGGGGAGACAAAGTTGGTCGGGCGTGGTGCTGGCCACCCACTCCCCTCGTGCCCTACTCGCTAACAGCACTTGCCCCGGCAGTCTATTAATAAGCTATATGGGGGGGACCTTTTTGTGTGTGTGCGCCTGTGTCCATAGAACGACGTGGGAGGGCAGAAGAGCCTGATCAACAAGTGGACGACGTTCCTCAAGGCGCGGCTGGTGTGCTCCGTGCCGGGCCCTGACGGCATCGACACCTATTTTGACGAACTGCGTGAGTTGGCGGCGAAGCGAGGGTTCAAAGCGTTTCGCCGCTTGCCTCGCGGTCACCTTCGAGAGCGTTTGCGTTTCGTCGTCAGCGATGAGCCGCGGGTCTCTCCGCCGCTGGATGACGGCCTCCGCCAAGCCGCCGCCACCTCCCGCGACCCTCCCCGTCGTGTGGGCACGACCCGCGTGGCGGAGTCGCCTCGGCCGCTCAGCCAGCAAAACTTCGCAGTAAAGGATGCCACAAGACCCTTGTCGATCCACTGCTGGATGAAAAGCTACCCCTTGCAATGTCAATCATACTTGACCATACTTCAACAATGCCGGTTGGGGATCGAGGGGCCTATGGCCAGTTCCGATATAATTTACTGCTAATGATAGTTGCGGTGATTTATTATTTTACAAGTTCCGTAGTTATAATAGAATTTGAGGCATTTAAATACAACGTTAAATATGCTCCAATTCCAGAATCGCAGACAGATAGAGGCTGCGTATGTTTGGACTTAAAAAAATCGTGTGCGTTCACCACTGTACGTGTTTTAATTTGTAAAACTATCACATGATAGTTATCATGTCATCGAAATTTTAAATTAAAAGCACCTCCACCAATATTTAGATTTTTTTGCAAAATGAAAAATGGTTTTGCCCTTACCATCTGGTAACTGTTCATATCTTGAATATCTATTTACATTATTTTTTTGGATGGAAAAATATAACGTAACATACGGGGTCCAAGCACAACCCATAAATAGCTCGGAATTAAATTTCCACCCCCGCATTTCTTTTCATGTCAGACAAAGAAAGCCACTCAGCCCGCAATCGTGATCTTTACACCACTCTGGGATTTATCCCCTTGCATTGATTGATTGTGGCTCACATGGCATATTTTAAAACCTTACCTTTTTAATTAAACATATTTCCCAGTCCACATTATGAGTTTTTTTTTTAAATTAAAAAAATGGGAGAATCAAAAATGTATTTAAACTTGTATTTGGGGGTTGCAAATCAAAATCATGTTTATTGATTCGCAATATATCTTTGCAACCTACTTAAAGTGTTTTATTTTTACTCTTATCCCTTTGCAAAACATAATTGGAACATACTGCACATTGCTAAAAGTTTAATAAAAAAAAGTGATCGCAATTTTCCCATGAAAACGTACAGTTACTCCGTCGGGACATCACGTTTAATGTTCTCGCTTATTCATCCATCTGTGAATTCTCACATTCGCTGCAGTTTTAAAGAAACACATTTTCAATAGAATGTATCTCAAATAACTATCCTCGCCTGTAACTGAATCGGCGCTCTATAGAGCCGCAGACGTATGTAAGGGGGTAAGGCCCCGAGGGGCCACTTGGGTATAAAGTTTCCCTCCAAGCCATCATCAACATTATGATGGCAACACTCGTGGCGCAGTGTAATGCGCACGGCATTCATTCGACGAACAAGTCCCAGGTGTGTGCAAACCACCGTAGCCGCGATAGAGTGCAGGAAGTGCTGCTCTATTATTATTATTACTACCACTACTACTAAGTTTCACTGAGGCATTTGTGGCGGGGTGGTTTCATTGCAGAGGACGTGTACCTGCTGCAAACCAGGGATGCGAAGAATCCGGTGATTTACACGATCTTCACCACGACAAGGTAGGAGGCTTGCTTTTCCCATGACTCGGGCAACTGCCCTTTTACAATCGTCGATGACTGACGAGGCATGAGAACGCGGCACCCGACGAGAACTCTACACAGCTGAAAATGTCGCTTCGGCGCGGCAGGGTGTGCCTCGCAGCAAGGAGGACCTGGGTTTAATTCCCGGACCCGGGCACCTTTCTGCGTGAGGCTTGTTCTCCCTCCCCCTCCCGCTGTTCGCCGTGGGTATCTTCCAGGTTCTCCAATTTTCACCCGTGCATCCCATTGCTAAAAAAATACCTGGAATTTTCTCAATTGGGATTACACACAGCAGCAGTAGCAGCAACAACGTCGCTCCATTCTGTGAAAACTTGGCAGGACCCTCCTGAAAAAAAGATTATTGAGACTCAATGAGGTTTTACCGAGTAAACAAGCGGATCTACAGTATAATTATCACAATAATGATATGCACTGAGCCCGATATAAAGTTTTCCAGTTGTAAAGTGTACTTGACCGTCACCGGCAAAGCCGTTGTGGATATGATGACGCCTTATCACCACAGTGCTGTGTATGTGTTGTGTACAGACTTTCACAACAGTTCATGATTAATGTACGGAGAAGTCACGCGGCTTCATTTCTGGGTTCCCATGGAGCTGAAGTCATAAAAAGTATATTTATTAGAAGCAAAACAAAACACTCGAATGTTAACTACAAGATAGAGACAAATGAGCTTACTCTATGTTATAATTTATTTTTTGTATCTGCTGCAATACTCACTGGGCCTCTTTCTGCAAAGAAAACCACGAGCCAGTCCAAGTGGACTGTAAGTAGTGGCATTTGTACCATTCCCCTGCTGCACATCAATGGACTTATCCCTTCCGCAAACTCAGTCTTTAAGATGGCATTGCACATTGTGCCTCACACGGTTGAACTTTCTGTCCGTTCCAATCGACGTAGTCACAAAGTTGCACGGCCCGGCAAAAATCTGCACTTGAGCTGCCCTATTTTTAGTTAATCACAACAATAATAATAATAAAAACATCTAAAATAAAGATATTCGCTTCAACATCAACATCCCTTGACCCGGAAGACTCTCCTCCTCCCTCTCTCTCTCTGCAGCATTCTCTCAACGCTGAACACACACGATCAGTCGCAACGCCTCCACCCGCGTGCATCCAGCTCTTGCTGGACCCCTGTGCTGATGGACACATTCCTTCATGCCTTCGTCACCTCTCATCTCGACTATTATGAATGTCTCGTTTAGGACTTGCCCAAATTCCTTACTTCCAAACACCAAATGATGCAAAACACTCCAACAAGACGTTTTTTCTAAATACTATTTTTTATTTAGCCAGGTACGGCCCACTGAGCTATACGGCTATTTTTCAGAAGCAACCAGGCCACAAATTATAGCTCATCGAAGTTGTTTATCATCATCATCATCATGTGGAAATTAATAGCAGCCAAATACTCACAACGCATGTTTATAAATGTGGAGGGAAAACCTTGAGGACCTGGAGAAAAATCTACGCGACCAGAGGGAGAACACGCAAACTCCAAACATTGAGGCGTCTGGGTGGGGATCGAACCCACGCCCTCTTGCTTACCAGGCGAGGTCGTTAACATCTCCTAGCCACCGTGGCGCCCTCTCCTAAGGAATATAAATGAGACCACATCACCCCAATGTTCATATCTCCTCCACTGGCTCCCAATCCAATTGTTAATCATCTCAAATATTATCCTTACATAATTCGAGATCCTCCACGACTCGTCCCTGTGCACCACTCGAATCTGCGTCTCACTCCGCTTGCTCCCCGTGTCCTCTGCCACATCAACGGAGACCTTGTGCGGACACTCTCAGACAATATCTGCTCGGCTCGTTTTCTCCTTCCCCGTTGTTCCCGAGCTCCCTTCTCTCCGTCTGTCCGTACTGATGACTCCCCGTTTTCAAGTCCAGTTTTAAGACGAATTCTCCGCTGCCTGAGGTTGAATTAGTTTTGTATTCTACATCTCAAATGCAATGTCCTGTTGTTATCATGCGGGGGAGGGCAGCACCATGACGAGTAAGGTGTCCAATAAAAGTGCTAGCTCTAGTGGCTCAACAAAGAAAAAATAATATGAACAATTAGATCAGTGGTTCTTCTTAACCTGGGGTGCACGCTGCATCCCCTGGGGGATGCGTGATGCCCTCTCTGGGGGTGTAAGAAATGGACTGAATTCTTTAGACATTTTAAAAGGATTGAGAACCAAAGGGGTGCAAGGCTGCAGTATAGGTGAAGAACCGCTGGGTTAGAGACCACGTGGCAATCTGCTTGATGAAGGCAGCCCAATGCCACGGCAACCGTGGGGGTTGCTTGGCTACAGACTTCACCTGCTGGTCGGTGCAGGTTCATGAAGGGATGAAGACTCAGCATCTGTTCAGGTTGATGAAGGGGTGAAGACTCAGCATCTCCTGCTCCACTCGTCTTCATCTTTGTCGTCTTTTGGCTTAATTTTCTGTATACTTATTTAAATGTCCCCTTGCATATCCATCTGTGTAGGGTTGTTTTACTCTTAGTTTAATGTTTAAGGGTTTTTACAGGGATTGTGTTGTAGAGCGACTGTGAGGCCTTGTGGGAATGGCGCTCTGTAAAGCTGAGTTTTACTTCCCTACTTACTTAGACATCACTTGAACGTCATTGGCTTTGGCTTGGAATCCAGTCACTGAGTGCATAGCACAAAGCACAACAACTACGCCACGTCACCGCCTTAAATGTCGAGTTAAAATAACGTGAAAACGACATTTCTTCAGTGACTAACACACACCTATGTGCATTCATTACTCTCGTAGTTGTGTTGTGTCGATCAACACTCCGGTCAGCAGCGGCTTTTGGCTGACCATCGGTCACCACATCGCGCGGCGCTTTCAGATGCGCTCCTGCGGCCGTCTGGAATGCTCTTCTTTCCGATATTACAACGCCGCTGGGAGCTACGCACTTTTAAATATAGATTGAAAAGTTACAACTGCTTCTTGTGTTCACTTTGTTGTCCTTCACCCGCACCTCCGATTCGAATGGTTGGCTACGTACGGTGCGGAAGAAGTTCAACAAACATACAAAGACAAAGATTCCCCTTATAGCCTATAATATACCGTTAGGGCAAGTGCAGTAAGTGAGTAGCACCTATGAAGGCCGGAACGGCGCTACGAGGGGCTTGGTGGCCAGCACCGCGCCCGACCGCCTTTGTCTCCCCAGTGGTGATGTTTTACACACCGCGCACCAGGTACTCATTTGAGGCTGAGTCGACCTAGGGGAGGCCCACGATCGATTCAGATAATCTTCACTGGCATAGGCCGTGAGCGAGAATCGAAGCCCGTGTCGCCGGGGTTCCAAGCGCAAGCGGGCTGACCGCTGCACCGGTGCCCCCTGCGCACGTCGGTGACCAGGTGCGCATGTGCGTTGTGTGGCCTTGCAGCAGCGTGTTCAAGGGCTCGGCCGTGTGCATGTACAGCATGGCGGACGTCCGCCGCACCTTCCTGGGCCCGTTTGCTCACAAGGAGGGCCCCAGTCACAAGTGGGTGGCGTACCAGGGCCGCGTGCCCTACCCGCGCCCTGGCACCGTGAGTCCCTCGCCGCTAAGCGTCTGTTCGCGCACGCTCATTATCCGTGAACAAGGCAATCGCCAGAATAATAACAACACGTGCACACGCACACGCACGAACCCTATACGCAGCTAATCAGGCGTTCAGCCACCAAGAATTACATACGCATACCGACAGACTAATGGAATTCGTGGTTTAACGGCATTTGTGGTTTCAAACATTTCACTTGTCGATGACGTTCTGGATACCCCGGGGGGAGAAAAAAAAACTTTGGGAAATTCGACGCACAAATATTTTGGGGTTTCTGATGAATTCCATTCAATTTGAGTGGGATAATAAATGTATTTAATAACCCTCAGAATTGTGACCACGTGCTTCTAGCCCATTGGGTAAACCACGGATTTTATTGTAAATAGTCCTGTGCGCTCACGTGTTTTTAATTCAGGGAAGCTATACGGTGTGTTTAAGAGCGACATAAACATTTAACATTGAATATTTTTTCACACAAAGCTGGCATGTATCCATGTGAACACTCACTCCCATATTCACATACATAAATGTCAACCCCCTATCAGTGCCTACCTTATTACAGACTAATTAATACTTTATTGGTCACTCCGTGCCCTTATAAATTTCAACGTTCATCCTACAAAGTTCCATCATAAGGGAGAAACACAAACAAATAGACAACACGTTTTTGGTTTGTTTTTGCCTGTATTGAAACGGCTGTACGCCGTATGGACCTGAAAACTCAATTTCCCTGCACTGGAATACGGGTAAACCGTATGGGTTGACAGGTATGCTCTCACACACTCACACTCAGACATTCACACACTCACACTCAGACACTCACACACTCAGACACTCACACACTCAGACACTCATACACTCAGACACGCATACATACACACACTCAGACACACACTAACACACACACTCAGACACTCACACAAACACTCAGACACTCACACACTCAGACATTCATACACTCAGACACGCATACATACATACATACACACACTCAACAACAACAACAACAACCGCCATTCGCCACTAAGTGGCGGTGACGTCACCACGACGCTTGTGCCAGGCTATGTGCACCCTGAGGCCACGTGAAGTGTCGAACGCCCGCTGGCAGGAGGTCACGGGGCAGACCCAGGTGCCACGGGTCGACTGACTGAGATGACTGGCTGATGCACCACCTGTGCCCCCTACTGTGCCAACCTGCTGTGCTTAAGCCACCCGGCGCTCCGCTCGCTGTTGTGAGCGTCGCTCCTCCGCCCTCCGTTGTTGTTGGAGGGCGACTGCCTCCAACTGCCCAGTAGCATCCTTCACGAGCCTCCTCCACAGAGGCCGATCTTGACACCGCTGGTACCAGGCATCGGCAAGTCCACTCAGCTCCACGTCCTCCTGTACCACATCACTCCATCTCTTCTCTAGCCCGTGCCGCGCCCGCTTAGCCCCCTCAATCCGGCCAAACAAAAGCTGTTTCGGCATGCGGTGGCTGGGCATGCGGGCTACATGACCCAGCCATCGCAGCCTTGCCTGCCGGAGGAGCTCACCGATGGGACCCTGCCCAGATCTTTCAAGGATTTGTGAGCTCCTCACACAATCCAGTCTGGTTAAACCCAGGATGGATCGTAGGCAGGTCAGCCTAAATGTTTCTAACCGGCGAAGATGTTCCATTAGGGGGGTCCACCTTTCGCAAGCGTAGAGAAGGGAGGGAATGACCGTGGCCGAGAAGACCTGAAGCTTAGTGCGGAGCGACAGACCAGGTAGCTTCCACACAGCGTTACGCAACCGATGAAAAGATATTGCCGCTCGACTGATTCGGAGTGAGACCTCTGCTGTTAAACTGGAGCCAGTCATAAGCACACTGCCCAGGTATGGGAAACTCTCCACTCTCTCCACAACTGCCCCATCACCGATTGGGATTTGTGGCGGTGGAGTGTCCGATGGTACAAAATACCCAGGCAGGTGCTTAGTTTTGGTGGGGCTGATGGTAAGGCCCCACCTCTTAGTGGCACGCTCCAGTCTCAGCAGCAGCGTCTCCAACTCCTCCTCTGACTGAGCAGCTATTACCAAGTCATCAGCATACATAACGTGGTTGAGCAATAGGGAGCCATCCCTTGACCGCACCCGGGCATCGATTAGCCTCCCATTATATCTGTACCATATGGAGATTCCCCCGGTACAGCTATTGAAGGCTTCACGAACTACGTGGTCAAAATAGATGTTAAATAATGTGGGAGCCAGAGGACATCCCTGTCGCACCCCAAGGTGTACAGGGAATGGCTCTGACTCCCGGCCACGTAGTTTTACCCGGGCCCGCTCACCATCATGAAGGTCCTTAATGATCGTGAGCAGAGGGTCAGGTACTCCAAAAGCACGAAGAACGACCCAGAGCCCAGGCCTACTGATGGTATCATAGGCCTTGACCAGGTCAATAAAGCAGAGATGTAGGTCTTGTTGGAATTCCCTACACCTCTGCTGTAGCAGACGGACAGAAAATATGGCATCTGTGCAGGACCGCCCTTTCCTGAAACCGCATTGGGGCTCCGCAAGCCTCTCCTCAGCGTGCCTGGCAAGGCGATGCTGAATAATCCTTGCCAGGACCTTTCCCGGCACACTGAGGAGTGAGATGCCCCTGTAGTTGTTACAGTCTGTGCGGTCCCCCTTCTTAAAAAGGGGGACCACCAGGGCATCCTTCCAATCCTGCGGAACCCGTCCAGTGGTCCAGACTGTTGTTATGATGTCATATAGGGCAGTCTGTGCACAAATGCCACCCTCCCTCAGCATTTCGCTTGGGAGATCATCTCTGCCCGCTGCCTTTCCTGGTCTCAGACTCCGTATCGCCTTCAATACTTCCTCAGCAGATGGCACCTCAGCCAGCCACTCACAGGGGGTGACTTCATCCAATATTTGAGGCACCGCAGCCTCAGCAGGGTCATCCTCACTTTGTGCCACGATGTTTTCCTGGCTGTGGGATTTTCCCTCCCCCAGGACCTCACAGAAATGCTCAGCAAATCTGCGAACCTGTTCCTGGGGGTCGGAAATTGGATCACCGTTTTTTCCCCTAATGATGGTAATAGGTGTGGCGCTGCAGGTTACTTTTTTGATGGAGTTAAATAGCGATTTGTGATCACGGGCCACTGAGGCAGACTCCATCTCCTCAGCAACCCGCGACCACCACCCATCCTTGCAGCGCCTCACGGCTCTCCGAACCTCCGAGCGAAGGCTGCGGTAAGCCTCCTCATTCTCTGACGTGGGATTCTGTAGCCGATGACAGTGGGCCTGTCGCTTTTTCTCAACCATCCTGAACAACTCCTCTGTCATCCAGGGTGTCTGGGGAGGTCTGGACCGCGTACCCAAAGCAGCCATTGCAGCTGCATGAGTCACAGTCCTAAACCTCGCCCATTTACCCTCGACATCAGGAGGAGTCGGGGACGATGCCAATCCCAGCCGCAAGCGATGATGAAATTCTCGCTTGCAACTTTCATCAGATAACTGAGACCAGGCCACTTTAGGTTGGAATGGGGTCCTGGGTGTACACCCACCACCGGAGTGGAAGAATGGCAGGCGCATCTTACAGATGACTAGTCGATGGTCAGAGGGCAGATCAGCTCCACGGTAGGTCCTGGTGTCAAGGACATGGGCTCGCATTCGCTGGTCCGTCACTATGTAGTCCAGCAGATGTTCTTGCTTGGACCCGGCATGCATCCATGATGTTGTGTGGATGCGCCGATGCCGGAACAGCGTGTTGGTAATTACAAGCCCATGGGCTGCACAAAAATCTAGCAGCCTCCTACCGTTGTTATTGAGCTGATCTGGCCCATGCCCTCCAATCACTCCAAACCAGGTGCCAGTATCATGACCAACTCGGGCATTGAAGTCACCCAACATGATGACTCTATCCCGAGGGGCCACTTTAGCCAGCACCTGTGAAAGGAGGTCATAGAAGGCATCTGACTCATCGGCTTTGCCTGCATCCCTCCACGGATGTTCATCTTCGGTGGGGGCATAAGTAACCACGACCACCATTCCTCGCCTCCGGTTGATGGGAAGGCGAGCCCAAAGTAGCCTGGGGCTTACAGCTTCCCACACCTCACCGCCACGCTCCCACGCCCCCTTCATTCTTTTGTTCAAAAGAAGACCCACACCCTGTTGTTTGGCAGTCTGCTGCCCCGAGTAGAGGACTGTCCACCCCTCATGGTGGCAGGAGCCAGAGCCGGTCCACCGGACCTCCTGAATGCCGCATAGATCCAGGCGGTACCGGTCCAGCTCCCGACAGAGGAGTGGCAGCCTCTCCTCTGCAGTGAGCGTTCGAACATTCCACGTGGCCACCCGTAGTGGCTTTTCGTTGTTTCTGGAGTAGCCCCGAGGGTAGGTATTCAATCTCCTGGCTCCGCCAATTGGGGTTTGGCCAGGAGACGTCATAGACGCCTGGCCCCCCGGGGCCTCCGGCACAAGCTTAGTTGTTACATATTTCACTTTAATTCGTGGTTTTGTGGTAATTAATTGAAGGTGGAGGGGTTACCAGCCCCTCGCACCCGTCCAGAGCCCCCGTTTAGCCCCTGTGGTGGACACATATGCCATGAGGGGAGGAGCCAATCAAAATTGGAACTCCCCCCACAGCACTGTCCACGACAGAGTTGCCCGTCCGGCACCGCGAGGAGGTAGGGGGTTGTTTTGCCGGACACACTCAGACACACTAACACACACACTCAGACACTCACACACACACTCAGACACTCACACACACACACTCGGGACACTCACACACTCAGACACTCATACATACACACACTCAGACACACTAACACACACACTCACACAAACACTCAGACACTAAAAACACACACTCAGACACACACTAACACACACACTCAGACACTCACACTCAGACACTCACACAAACACTCAGGCATTCACACACACACTCAGACACTCACACCCAGACACTCACACAAACACTCAGACACTCTCACACACACTCAGACACTCACACACACACTCAGACATTCATACACTCAGACACGCATACATACATACACACACTCAGACACACACTAACACACACACTCAGACACTCACACACACACTCAGACACTCACACACACACTCAGACACTCACACACTAAGACACTCATACATACACACACTCAGACACACACTAACACACACACTCAGACACTCACACTCAGACACTGACACAAACACTCAGGCACTCACACACACACTTAGACACTCATACCCAGACACTCACACAAACACTCAGACACTCACACACACACTCAGGCACACACACACTCAGACACTCACACCCAGACACTCACACAAACACTCAGACACTCTCACACACACTCAGACACTCACACACACACTCAGACATTCATACACTCAGACACGCATACATACATACACACACTCAGACACACACTAACACACACACTCAGACACTCACACACACACTCAGACACTCACACACACACTCAGACACTCACACACTAAGACACTCATACATACACACACTCAGACACACACTAACACACACACTCAGACACTCACACTCAGACACTCACACAAACACTCAGGCACTCACACACACACTTAGACACTCATACCCAGACACTCACACAAACACTCAGACACTCACACACACACTCAGGCACACACACACTCAGACACTCACACCCAGACACTCACACAAACACTCAGGCACTCACACCCAGACACTCACACAAACACTCGGACACTCACACACACACTCAGACACTCACACCCAGACACTCACACACACACTCAGACATTCACACACACACAGACTCAGACATTCACACACACCCAGACATTCACACAGACTCAGACACTTACACACACACCCATACACTCACACACACTCAGACGTTCACACACACACTCAGACACTCACACACACACACCCAGACATTCACACAGACTCAGACACTCACACACACACTTAGACACTGCACCAGGTACTCTTTTGAGTCTACACACCCAGACATTCACACAGACTCAGACACTCACACACACACCCAGACATTCACACACACTCAGACACTCACACACACAGACTCAGACACTCACACACAAAGACACACACACTCAGGACACTCACCAATACCAATGACACTTTAACACGCGCGCTGATCTACCTGTGCGTGCGCCGCAGTGCCCGAGTCGCATATTCGGGGGGTTTGAGTCGACGAGGGCCTTCCCGGACGAGGTGGTCAGCTTCGTGAAGAGCCACCCGCTGATGCTGCACCCGGTGCGGCCCGCGGCACAGCGGCCGCTGCTGCTGCAGACCGACGTGGGGTACCGCTTCACGCAGATCGTCGTGGACCGCGTGGAGGCCGACGACGGCCACTACGACGTCATGTTCATCGCCACCGGTCAGCGGGGACGCGGGGCGCTTCTCTCTGTGACGTCTCTCTGGGGGTGGGACGAGCGTGGTGTGTCTCTCTGTGACGTCTCTCTGTGACGTCTCTCTGTGATGTCTCTCTGGGGGTGGGACGAACGTGGTGTGTCTCTCTTTGTCGTCTCTCTGTGACGTCTCTCTGTGACGTCTCTCTGGGGGTGGGACGAGCGTGGTGTGTCTCTCTGTGACGTCTCTCTGTGATGTCTCTCTGTGTGACGTCTCTCTAAGGGTGGGACGAGCGTGGTGTGTCTCTCTGTGACGTCTCTCTGTGACGTCTCTCTGTGACGTCTCTCTGTGACGTCTCTCTGTGACGTCTCTCTGGGGGTGGGACGAGCGTGGTGTGTTTCTCTGTGACGTCTCTCTGTGACGTCTCTCTGTGACGTCTCTCTGTGTGACGTCTCTCTGTGACGTCTCTCTGTGACGTCTCTCTAAGGGTGGGACGAGCGTGGTGTGTCTCTCTGTGACGTCTCTCTGTGACGTCTCTCTGTGACGTCTCTCTGTGACGTCTCTCTGTGACGTCTCTCTGGGGGTGGGACGAGCGTGGTGTGTTTCTCTGTGACGTCTCTCTGTGACGTCTCTCTGTGACGTCTCCCTGGGGGTGGGACAAGCGTGGTGTGTCTCTCTGTGACGTCTCTCTGTGACGTCTCTGTGACGTTTCCCTGGGGGTGGGACGAGCGTGGTGTGTCTCTCTGTGACGTCTCTCTGTGACGTCTCTCTGTGACGTCTCTCGGGGGGTGGGACGAACGTGGTGTGTCTCTCTGTGACGTCTCTCTGTGACGTCTCTCTGGGTGGTGGGACGAGCGTGGTGTGTCTCTCTGTGACGTCTCTCTGTGACGTCTCTCTGTGACGTCTCTCTGGGGGTGAGACGAGCGTGGTGTGTCTCTCTGTGACGTCTCTCTGTGACGTCTCTCTGGGGGGTGGGACGAGCGTGGTGTGTCTCTCTGTGACGTCTCTCTGTGACGTCTCTCTGTGACGTCTCTCGGGGGGTGGGACGAACGTGGTGTGTCTCTCTGTGACGTCTCTCTGTGACGTCTCTCTGGGTGGTGGGACGAGCGTGGTGTGTCTCTCTGTGACGTCTCTCTGTGACGTCTCTCTGTGACGTCTCTCTGGGGGTGAGACGAGCGTGGTGTGTCTCTCTGTGACGTCTCTCTGTGACGTCTCTCTGGGGGGTGGGACGAGCGTGGTGTGTCTCTCTGTGACGTCTCTCTGTGACGTCTCTCTGTGACGTCTCTCTGTGACGTCTCTCTGTGACGTCTCTCTGTGACGTCTCTCTGGGGGTGGGACGAGCGTGGTGTGTCTCTCTGTGACGTCTCTCTGTGACGTCTCTCTGTGACGTCTCTCTGTGACGTCTCTCTGTGACGTCTCTCTGTGACGTCTCTCTGTGACGTCTCTCTGGGGGTGGGACGAGCGTGGTGTGTCTCTCTGTGACGTCTCTCTGTGATGTTCTTCTCATGGAGCGTGAACCATCGCGTGAACTCCGTTCACCCTCGCAGCAGCTTTTGGCTGGCCATCGAACACAGACGGTGGTTACCACGTCATCGTGCGGCGCTTTTAGATGCACTTTTGCGGCCGTCTGGAAAGCTTTTCCGTCCGATATTAGGATGCCACTGGAGCTATGCACTTTTACATCATCGAGATTGAATACTTATTTCTTGAGAACTGCTTTTGTGTTTAGTTTGCTGTCATTCCAATGGCTGGCGATGCAATAGCCACCAGAGTGGCTGAGCCACTCCCATGGTGAATCACCGTATCCACTGTGAGTTTAAAGGTGCGGCTTAAGGCGCCGCTGGTCGAAGGGGCTCCGCTAGAGGCAACTTCAGAGAGAGCCTGTCTGGAGAGTACTTGGCCTACTCTTCCACGCCGGACAGATGTCTTGGTAGAGGGGAGAGTAACCCACACTTTACCCTACCAAGCATGACCTGTCGATCGACTGCTGTGTGCTCCTTTTACGCTGCTGGGGCGCACAGCAGCTGGGAATTTTCTTGTGCATTGGGTCGACTGCTAAAATGCTTTACCCACTCTCACGTGAGAGTGATGTAATTTGTAAGACTTAGCCATTGCATTGCAGTGATGAAGTCAAAATCACAAATGGGGTGCGCGATTTGTGTGTTATACGTACTTGCGTGTCATATAAGCATTGTGTCATGTGATGTGTGCGGTGCTTGTGCGGGTGTGTCTCTGTGTGGGTGTGCGGTGCTTGTGGTGTGGGGTGGCATGGGGTGTGTGTGTGGTGCGGAGGGGGAGCGGTGGCGCAGCGGTTAGAGCTTCGCCACGCTACGAACCCGACGAGCGCAGTTCCATCCCACTCACGGCTGGTGACGATTATCTGAACCGGCTCTGGGCCTCCCCTAGGTCGATTCAGCCTCAAATGAGTACCTGCTGCGGTGTGTAAACATCGCCACTAGGGAAACAAAGGCGGCCGTGCGTGGTGCTGGCCACCCACCCCCTCGTGTGCCTTGCCGGCCTTCATAGGTGCTCGCTGACGTCAACTTGCCCCAACAGTCTGTTAAGGCTATACGGGGGAGCGTTGTCTTTGTGTGTGGTGCGTGCCGTGTGGGTGCGTGGCGAATGCAGACGTGGGCACAGTGCTCAAGGTGGTGTCTGTGCCACGTCAGACCTGGCAGGACTTGGAGGAGGTTCTGCTTGAGGAGATACAGGTCTTCAAGGTTCGTCTGCACCTACAGGGATTGGAGCCCGCAGGCAGAGAGGAGAGTTTGTATTTGTAGCCCTGCAGTGAAATGGTGGCAAATGCCGGTAGCAGTGACATCATACTCGACCTAATAATTGCCACTGGCCCAATTATTAGAACGATGCACATTCATGGTGTTTATTTCTGCCTTGCTTTCCACTTAAAAGTGCACAGACCTGTGCTGGCTGTTGCTGCACTGACCTCTGCTGCTCACCGCGTTGTCTCACAGCCATATAGCAACCCTATAGCAACCTATAGCAGCTTTATAACAACCCTATAGCAACCAGTAACCTATAGCAACCCTATAGCAACCTATCACAGCTTTATAACAACCCTATAGCAACCAGTAACCTATAGCAACCCTATAGCAACCTATAGCAGCTCTATAACAACCCTATAGCAACCAGTAACCTATAGCAACCCTATAGCAACCTATAGCAGCTTTATAACAACCTTATAGCAACCAGTAACCTATAGCAACCCTATAGCAACCTATAGCAACCCTTTAGTAACCTATAGCAGCCCTATAGCAACCCTATAGCATCCCGATAGCAACCCTATAGCAACCTATTGCAGCCCTATAGCTACCCTATAGCAACCCTTTAGTAACCTATAGCGGCCCTATAGCAACCTATAACAACCCGATAGCAACCCTATAGTAACCTATAGCATCAATATAGCAACCCTATAGCAACCCAAAGCCCACCGCGTCATCTCATAACCCTATAGCAACCCTATAGCTACCCACAGGCCACTGCATCGTCTCACAGCCCATAGCAACCCTATAGCAACCTGTCAGCCCTATAGCAGACTGTTTATTAATGCTGTCGCCCATCCAAGCACTATCAGGCTCAGGCCTGCTTAGCTCCCCAGAACGCATGAGGAGATGTGGTCGCAGGCCTTTTTGTTAAACTATAATTCAACGTAAACACAAATTTGTGCTGATTGTGAATGCATTGTGTTGTTTATTTACTTACTCATTTCAGTCGTCATTTGTGTGTTTCAACTTAGGAACCTGAACCCATCTTGAGCATGGAAATCTCATCAAAGCTGGTGAGTTCCCTAACGCCTTATCAAAAGTGCCCTGTGTACGATTCAATGTTGTTTTCACAAATAATACCTTTTTTAGATCACTACTGCTTGCTGCCGGTGATGTAAATGAATTCAACAGTCGGGAAATAGGCTTCAACGTGAGCGAACGTTGCTCGAGTTTAAATGAAAAAAAAAAACAACGCACACGAAGATTTTCCAGCAAACTGCATTCAGTTGATACTCTTTGGTTTTATTCGGTACTCAAAACAGATCTTCTGCTGTGACTGTTCCACCTGAAGACGGAAGCTTGTGTTATTTTATCTGCGTGATTTTACCGAATAAAACCAAAGAGTATGAATCCTTGCAGTCACGAAAACTTCAAATCTAGAATGCATTCAGTTGGTTTGTTAGCAAGATTAGTGTTTAAAAAAATAGAGTTTCGACCAAATCCCTGGACTGGCCCAGGTGCCCCCTGGGCACCATCTAAACGTTGCATTCATGCCTTATGGGACTGTCCGCCATGAGGACATTCTATGATAAAATTACCGATCTGTAGAACGTGATGTCTGGCACTGAGATAATACCCAACATTGTATCTTCCTCTTCCTGGGCCTTAAACCCCAAGGCATCACCAGGCACCAACACACCCTTCTCCAAGAATTTAGCAGTTTCGTTAGAAAGACGATCCTGAGCTCCTGGAATAATCATGGGGACCCCCCTCATTCACCCTTCAACATAACTCCCTATTCGTCCTAGCTTTAGAACACCTGAGTCGGAAACTGAGGAATAGGGAAGGGGAGTTTACCCAGATATGGGGCCCCCTTGTGAATGCCACTCCAGAGAACCTGAGTTCACTTGGCTGAACTTGAAATGAGACCGACTCCCCCTCCTCTTTCCCCCTTCCTTCCCTGAAGAAAATGGATCTGACGCACGAACCGCATAACGCTACGGTCCTACGCGTCTGCGTTGGTTGTCTGTCCTAGCCACCTATCCCGTTATGCACCGCTCACCTGTCGCAGAAGTTGTACACCACCCATGGTTGGATCAATAAAAATCATTTTTAAACAAAATAGCTTCAACACAAATGTCCCCGACTGATTTCCAGGTTTCAGGGACACGGAGATCCCGGAAAAGGGAGCTGGTGTGCGTGATTTGCCGGAGAGGCCGTGGGTTTTCACCAAGTCGGCGTTATGGCGCCTCGTTTGCCGCTAGTAAACTCTCTCCTGGCAGCAGAGGCGGATCTGGAAAGTGCCCAAGGGTTGGAAGCTCGTTAAAAAATGGCAGCCTTTTAAAATAGGGCCTACATTGAATAACAATGATAATAAAAAGAATATAAAAAAAAAATATCCCTTAAATATCAATAAAACACCAATATTCGTGGGGTGGGGGGGGGGTGTTAATCACCCCCATCTCCCCAGTCGCCCCCCACTACGAGCATGGCACGGCAGAGCCCGGACATCGCACACACGGCGCGCGGTGTCTTCCGCCCGTTCCTTGACCACAGCAATACCTCTACATCGGCTCGAGCGGCGGGCTCACGCAGCTGGCGCTGCACCGCTGCGGGGTGTACGGCGAGGCGTGCGCCGAGTGCTGCCTCGCCCGGGACCCCTACTGCGCCTGGGACGGCGCCTCCTGCACGCGATACTTTCCCAGCTCGCGCAGGTTCCCCGCCGCCGCGATCGCCGCGTCCTCAAGCTGGCTGAGACGTCACGGGCAGTTCTCCTGCCAAACGCGTCTTGGCTGTCAAAACGCGGATTGGATGTAGAGCGCGAATCGAGCGGACGGGACTACGTGGCGCGAGGAGGAATGAGCGGTTTGTGCGGCTGCCTCGGCGTAGCGTCGTCACACGAGGCGTCGGGATGCTGCTGGATGCTTCTAGATGCTACCCGCTCGTCTCAGTCCGTGCTCAACCTGCATACGCATCTCGCGTGTTTTCGTGTCATTGTGCTTTATACCCTATACTATATATTATTTATTATAACGCGATTTTTCCACAACGCGGTGTTCTTCAGGAAGAAACTACCACGTTACAGGAGAACAGAAAAATGTAATTGAACTATTTTTTTATTTTACCAGGTAAAGCTCGCTGAGCTACATAGCTCTTTTTCATAAGTGACCTGGCGACAAATGATAGCTCAACTAAGTGGCTTATCATCACGTGGAAATTTCTAGCAGCCTAATGCTCTAAACGCATGATGTTGATTATTAATTTGGTGGGAAAAACCGGAGGACCCACAGAAAAATCCACGCGACTACGGGGAGAGAGAGAGAACATGCAAACTCCAAATATACAGCAGCAGGCGTCAGGGTCGGGGGCGAACCCGTTACTTCCTGTATACCAGGCGAGGTTGTTAACATCTCGCCACCGGGGCACCCATTACGATGCTATTGTGCCGCTTTAAGCATTACCATCACGGCTTTTGCTTTCGCAGCAGGAGGTCACGGCGGCAGGACGTTCGCAACGGAGACCCCCTCACCCAGTGCTCCGACCAGTACTACTCACGTAAGTGTGCGGCAGCGCTTCAAACAATTATTACTCGCGACCCCGTCTTTCCTGGCCGCGAGCACCTGGATCCAGGGCCCAGCAGCCTTATGCTACTCCTGCTTTGGCAGATTTTCAGATAAAGTGATGTTTAAAAGTAAAACTTGTGTTTAAATATTTGTGACGTCTCATAAGCTATTGAGAAATACATGGGATTCCAGAGAAGGGCACAGAGATAGTCTTTATACTCACATGGGCATGTTGTGATTAACCGTCTTGCCAATAAAATGTGTAATACGTATTTTTTTTTTCAAACACAGCAAGTTTGCTTGTCGTATTATTAAGCACATAGTGGTGGCTTTGTGCTTATTGATCCTTTCTCCAGAGACAAAATAAATATGCAAGACAATACACCTCCTTTCAGCATCAATCCCTCTGCACAAAAATAAATGAGCTTTTTTTACACATCCAAACTGCCACACAGCCTTCTGTGGAGTGCATAATTTCAGCAGCAATTGGTTCAGCACGTGCAAACTCTGGACGGGGTTTTGGCGTTCACTGTCTCACCGGCAAGGTTCCCCACTTCTGTCAGACAACGGTTTCCCAGTCCGACGCGAAACCACACAACACGTCACACAAAATAACCACGAGCGTCATTGTGGAGGATGTACGTGCGTTGAAACTTCCTACGCACCGTACGTAGCCAACCATTGCTATTCGGAGGTGCGTGGCGGGGCGGGAGGGAGGGGGGAGTCAACAAGCTAAACACGACAACAACAACAACAAGCGGCCTGCTTGAGTGCTGGGAGCCTGTGTGTGGCTTCAGTGGCTGGGGATGCAGAGAGCATGGAGGAGCAGCTGGTGTACGGAGTGGAGAACAGCAGCCTGCTGCTGGAGTGCCTCCCCAAGTCCCAGCAAGCGCATGTCTCCTGGCTCCTTGGCAAGCTCAGCGGCCAGTCCGCCAAGAACGAGGTGACCGCCTCCACTCCCCACCAGCGTCGTTGGCAGGCATCTTCCCCGTTTGTGACATTGGCGCGGAGAGCGTCGCGGGCAGCAGCTGCCTTATAAAGCATCGACGTGGGGGTTGTGTTTCCGTCAGTGAGTGGGACTGAATACGTCGGTACTTTGGGCCGAACTGGCTTTCTTCAGTGAGACTTTGGCTTTAGACGCCCGTCTAGAGTTGTGTCAATGCAGCGTTAGTGGAGCTAATAGAGTAGTGGTACAGTTTGGTGTTGTGGTGGAGAAAGCTAAAGTCCAACTGTGGGTGTTTGGTGAAAGCTCCCAGTGGGAGATGTTAAACCATCGGTTTCGAGAACATTTTATTTTTCACAAAGCAGTTGTTCAAACTATCGTTAACTAGTCACCAGAATAGCTATATGAACATATCGGCACTGCTACAATATGGCATAAAGTAATATAGTTAAAATTGAGGGGCATCACTCGAAAAGTTAATCTTCTAAAAGTTAATAATTAAGGTTCTTGAGTTAGATCACGTAACTATGAATGCGTCGTAACCCTCCACCACCCGACTGAACCAATTATTAAGGGATTTACATCCAGCATCATCGAACGATTTGGCAAATTGCCCGATGATGCTCGGTGTAATTACCAGCGAAACGTCATACTCAAATTGTAAATGTTGTGGATTTACTCTTCAACACACCGGTGGGTTGAAGTAGTAACTAATTGGCGTTATATTTATGTGACAAATCCCTTACTAATTGGCTGTGTTGGGTGGTGTAGGGCTACGACACATTTATACTTACGTGATCTACGTGACTTTACCGAAAGAACCAAAGAATAATTCTAAAAGTTTGTTAAACTTACAAGGTTTTAAAACTAAATGTAAGCAACAAGAGTGTGAAAATTTGGAGGCAGGTTTATTATATCAACAGACCCACATTGCAAAAAAAACATAATAAACAGCAAAGAGGGAAAAAACTGAATAAAGATCTATATGTTGAGACTGAGAAGATTTTAATTACGTGCTAAGAATAAATAAAATAGGCGACAAACATCGGGGAAGCAAATCCACGACTGTGAATTCCAGGCGGGTGTGGGTAGCAGGTTTGTATTTATCCACCCGCCTTGCAAATCAGATAGTGTGACTTTTGAGATGTTAACGCTTCAATGACAAAGTGTATCAGGGACTCCGCCTGGTTCGGAACCATGAGCGCAGTAAGCACTTGGCAGTACGGGGCGACGGTAGGAGATTTTTTTTTGTATTTCATACTCGAAAAAATACCGGACCGTAACTTTGTACCGTGCCTTTTGATTTTTTGTACCGTACCTTTGAGATCATTGTCGTATCGTACCAGTACGGTAAAATTTCGTACCTTATGCCATACAAAAATAAGAAAATAAGGGAAAGATGACAAGCAAACTTTATAGTATATCGTTTTGCCTGATTTATATTTTGCTGAATGCTTCTTACCCTTTAAAAAAACAATAATCTTCTGTTAACATGTTTGATTGCTTTGTTAGAATTGACAAAAACGCATTTAAATCCAAAATGGCATAATTTTTAAATGTCGATTAAAAACGCTTAAAATTCTCATTCGTTATCAACGCTAAGTGGCATTTTGAGAAAGGAATCTTGCCTGCCATTTTAGTTTTTGCTAGCTGACCTGTTAAATTATTGTAGACAATAGAGTAGAATGATTAATTGGTCACCTGAGTTGGTACAGAAAGGGTACATAAAACATATATATCTGTACTTTCGTACCGTACCTGATGACAAGAATACTGTACCGTAATATCATACCGTAGTTAAGAACCAAAACATCATGTATCGTGCCGTAATTTCGTATCGTACCGTACTGCTACTCTTGCCTGTTGTGCTCACTGTACGCACTTTGGCAAGGTCCTCGTTCATGGGGCTTCTCACACGGAGCCTCGTGACCTCATTCATTGCAAATTATCACGAACTGACTGATGCGTGCGTGAAAACTTTACTTGTAATAAACCCTGCAGAAGCAATACCAAATTAATGAGCACACCTGGAGGAAGTGGGGCGATTTTCAGAGCTACTGTTTAAAAATCAATTGTTAAGTTAAAAAAAAAAACGTCACACATGAGTGAAGCATCAAACCTCTGATCACGATCAGGATGTGCTTGGGCTTTGTGTTTTACCCTCTGAGCTCCGTCCAAGCATTCAAAGAGAAAGGGGTGAACACAAACTGCAACGACGGCCTCCGGTGAAATTCAGCGGCCCCCCTTCCGCGCGTCGTTATCCGCCGGGGCGTGCGTCCCGTGTCTCCTTTTGACGCGGCCCTTTCACCCCCGCCCCCTCCACCCGCGCAGGTGACGCTGGACGACCGCGTGGCGAAGACGGCCCACGGGCTGCTCTTCCGCGGCACGCTGCGCGGGGACACGGGATCCTACCTGTGCCGCGCCTCGGAGCACGGCTTCGCGCAGACCCTGCGGCGCTTCCGCCTCGAGGTGATCGACGCCGCGCAGCTCGAAGAGCTCCTGCAGAAGGAGGACGAGGCCATGTCCAGGGCCAGGATCGCGCAGGCGACGGAGGGCTCCGGCCCCTCGCCGCCGCCGCCGCCGCCGCCGTCCTTGCCGGGCGCCGCCCCGCAGGGCCAGCTCTGGTACCGCGACTTCATGCAGCTCATCAACCACCCGACGCTGGGCGGCGTCGATGACTTCTGCGAGCAGGTGTGGCATCGCGAGCGGCGGCACCACCGCGGCCGGCAGGGCAAGGGACGGCACCACGGAGGCTTCGGCCACGCAAAGTGGAAGCACCTCCAGGACGGCAAGAAGGGACGCAGCCGTCGCACGCACGAGCCCGAGAGGTCGCCGCGGAGCGTGCGCCCCTGACTGTGACGGACGCGTCACGTGACGCGTGGCGCGGCGTGGCTTCTCACCTGCAAACCCCATGCTGTGAAACGCTGGGTTATCTTTTTTTTTTGATCATCATCGTCGTTGATTTGTCATCGCCTTTTCAAAAAGACTTTCTCCTCGTCTCTTGTGCAAGCGGTATCTCCATTAAGCTCGTGTACATTAAAGCAAATATATATATTAAACCGTCGTTTAAATGTTCCAAAAAAAAAAAAGGCATGTGGGGTGGGAATTTGTTCTCGGCTAATTCGGAAATTGTCTGGAGATTGATTTTTGCTGTTTTATCCAATGTACATAGTCAGGTTTGTCTGAAATTGTTGTTGTGCGCATTTCACATTTTTTCCGCCTATGGCCACCCAACCTTCGCGAGCTTTTCTTCTCGGGCAGTTCATGGCGAACCACTGAAGTACAAGAGCACAATGCGTATCCGGGAGTTACAACTCGCAAGTGGACCGGTGCGCGTCTACAAAGGGTCTGACGTAAGCTCGTTAAAACGCTTAATTTTTTTTTTTGGAATACCGTGAAAGGAAGTTAATATTCTTAGAGTGCCACTTCTGTGGTGTATGGGTGTCATGGCGGCCCAGTACTAAATGCTCTCGTCAAAGTAGTATTAGGTCACAGGGTAAATATTTCAGAGAATACCGGAGAGAATCGTACAGTCCCATTACAACAACAATACTTATGGTGTCCTTAGTTTCATCCAGGTAAGCCTCGCTGAATCTCAAGACTATTTCCTTAAAGAGAGGTTCCTGCATTGGGATGTTTGTCCAGTTCCATTAATGAGTGGGAACATTAAAACCAAATGCGCTACGCATACCAGGGGCTTACTGTCGAAGCTCTGGCCAGATGGATTCTTAAACCTCTTTCTGTACTGCCAACCTTGCAATACTTGGAATTCACAGGAACTATCCCATCCAACTTTTAACCAGGCTTAAACCTATAACAGAGTTTTTTTGGGTTAGATCGTATAAACATAAATGTGTCGTTAAGCCCCCCACCGCCCGACACAGCCAATTAGTAAGGTTTGTAATTTAAATTGTAAATGTTGTGGGTTTACTCTCCAACACACCGGAGTGCTGGACTAGTAACTAATTTGCTTGTTTTGTTTACGTGACAAACCTTATTAATTGGCTGTGCCGGGTGGTGGTAGGTTTCACGACACATTTATATTCATGCGATCTTACCCAAAAAAAAAAAACCTCATGGATAATATTGGTCACGACCACCAACGTGGTAACCAGGCTTAAACCTGCTCAGCTTCCAAGATCCAGAGAACCCTAGCTTTAGACAACTTAAGAGCATTATTGAAAGCACAATCTCACATCAAATATCGTAGCTTGGTCAACAAATGACCCTTACAAAATCTTGTGAACATATGGAGCAGTCTCATAATGATAACTATTTCTAGGAGTAATGCCTCCCATTTACCTGCACAACTTAAAAAGCACAATCTTGTAAATTCCTGCAAAGGCCTTGGAGTATTTCAGACAAAGTCAGCTAACATGAATTCAGGTGTTCTCTTCTAAGAATCTTGACTCGATATGTTTCAATACGCACGCGCATGTGACAAAATCATAATCTTTCGGGTCTCATGCTGAGTGGGTTTTGTGTCTGGTCGCGGTGTATTAGTATGCGTAGGTGAGAGCGGGCAGGCTGGCGCATCTGTCAGTCGTCTCAGGCAGTTAACTCGTAACACTTGGGTCTGTCCCGTGACCACCTGTCAGCGAGCCTTCGACACTCCACAAGGCCCCAAGGTTCATCTAGCCTGGCACAAGCTCTGTGGTGTCATCACCGCCGCTTCGTGGCGGATGTTGTTGTTGTCGCTGCAGGGCAGGTGAGGGCTGGTAGAAGTGTTTCCTCTGTCCCTCACGAGAGGACGAGGACAGCAGGAGCTTGAGTTCTGTGGCTTCTCGACCAGCTCACCAACATTTTTATTTTGGTTACAGCTCTGCCACAATTCCAGTAGCACAATTGGGATATTGCTATTTCACAATCCAAACCAACCATTTAAACGTGACATGTATATTTGAATGGCTGAAGTCATACTACAAGAACACGTTTTCCTACTGCGTTGGTAATAGCTGTTTGACGTTTCATTGGATGCCATACGCCTAACTTAAAGGTATGTGCGTAATAGTGCAAGTGATGGGTGCACTACAGATGCATAGTAATTGGTGGGTGCACGACAGCTCGCGTCTCACATGCTGATGACATGTGCGTAGTATTCTGTAAAACGAGCTGCAGTGTTACATACCGGTGCTACGTGCTGATCTCTCTGGGGGGGGGGGGGGGCGGAATGCTTCCATGGACTTACCAGCATTGCTGAAGACGACAAGTAAGAGGTGGCTGGTGGAGTGGAATTTTTCGGGGGGGAGGGGGCGCCTTTTGCTTGGAATGCCCTGGGTTGTGGTGCCTTCCACCTGAGGTCATGGAGAGGGCACCGCCGGGTCACCAGGTCAGGTGACGGGCGGCCGAGTGATATTCCAATCGAGTAGAACCCCTCTTAACGACTCTAATTGGTTCCACGAACTCGGTGGTTAAAGCAAGTACTAGGAAATCCATGTTAAAGGCGTCATTTGTTCCGATAGCATCGAAAGTTACCCTTTTCACCCCAAAAAACGTACTTTAAAATAATTAAACAATGTATATGAATACATAAAAAAACGAACATTATAAATACATAATATGAAAAGAAACATGGTTAATCAATGCATTAATTAATATTTACTGTACTTACAACAACCCGTCGTTAACATGGCAATGGTCGGAAAGTGAACACATTGGGCTCTATAGAGGCCCGTCGTTAAGCGATTAGCCGTCAAGAGGGGCTCTGCTGTACCACGACAAAGGCACACAAACTCATGAAGTGGGAGGAGGCAGAGAGATCATATTTGGGTTCACTTTTGAACTGACAAGTCAAACTTGCATCTAGGCTTTGCTTGTCATCAGCACGGATCGTGATAGAATGAATTATTGAACCCACAACCAGTGAATGAATTCCCGGCCCTATCGACGATCCCCCCCACCCAGCCATGCGATGAACATTGAGGGTGCTGGTATCTTCGTGGGTGAGCAAATAACAGTGTTGGCGTAACGTTTTAGTGGTGTAGCCTCGCAAGTTGTGGGCTTCTAAGCCCCGTCAAACTTGGCGCGCACAACCATTACCAATAGTCATTTGTTGAAGAATATTTATAATATGTAAAGCAAACACGTTTTTAAAAAAAAAAAATACATATATAAGCGATTACATGATAGAACGTTATGAAAATTAATCGGATTGGTTACAATCATGTTTTTTACTGAGGTTACAATGTGAATCCTGTAACTCGAGTTGGCTCACATTTTCACTGGCGTTTCACAACATTGAATAGAAATAAGAAAATATTAGAAGTGATTGTTTCAGCAAAGGTACAGATCATGGTAGAGGATTCTCCAAATGATATTCTGTAAATGGACGTATTGGCGGTACATCGATGAAGCGTAGCACACGACGATCCTCATGAAACAGTCGGAAATCAAAATGTTCATCAGATAATCTGCTTTTTTTTAAATCAGTCGTTAATTGATCCTGTCGTTTGACGCGATTCGAAGTTGTATTCAGTCGGCTGAGCCTTGCTAAAAAAAGGTCGATATTGACCGGTGACTCGGTTCCTGGGCCCGCGAACTTTTTGGGCCGACCAGGGGGAGGGATGCGCCTGAATTGCAGCAGCAGAAGCTTCCTTGCGTTGCCTTATGAGCCCGAGGTCGGACTGGAGCATCATCATCTGCTTCTTCTTCTGCTTCTTCGTCGTCGTCGTCGTCTTGATCCGCCGATGGACAGTCCGGCGAGTTGAGCGTTGGAAATGAATTGAGGAATTGTCCAACCGAGTTTAGGGCACGGCTCAGATCTGTCGAGGGCACGAGGAGTCAAAAACACGGATCAGCCAATCGTCATCAGGGCTGGGTGCTGCTGCACGGCAAACAGACCGTGGACATTCTTCGTGATCGGCCCGCTCACATACACGTTCACTTTCCCACTGCTTCGACATCACGAGGACTGATTTGGACGCAGCATCACCACTGCCACCACCCTGCAAGATTTTCTGATCGGGGTTGATAATCGCGGGGAGATAAATAAGAGCGATTTGTGTTTGTTTAATCACTCACCGCCGGTGGTACCGCCAACACGTCCACATGGAGAAAACGGAGGGCTTGTCAGTCGAATTTTCACTTCAAAATGAAAACGGACGTTACGCTTGTGACGAATTCCGTCGTGAAGTGTGGTGACAACATTCCTGCTCCGAGTCACGCGGCAGCATCGTCCGCGGTCGCCTTCAGACTTCACACGACTCGTCTTGATTGCGAAGAGCATTTGTTCTGGAATGTCCTGTAGTTGGCAGCTTTAGAATATGAACGTGGTTGTGGCGACACGTTTTGGCTTGCTTGGATGACAACCGAGGGATGTATTTCAAGCCTCGTAACCCTTCATGGGAAACCCACGTTGCGTTCAGTCCCATTTTGTGCTGCCTGCCAATAAGACTTCGTTTACAAATGACAATACAAAGATGCATGGCTCATATTTTTCACAATCAACTATCACGTTGATTGAGTACCAATGTAACTTAATATTTGTTTGACATCTGCTGTTTCCCGCATTAAATGCACATGCCAGTCCTATTGAAATAGAACAGTATGACTGTTTTGCATTGTGATGAGGTTCTTACATATTACATTGTGGATTAATGAACAGAACACGTAATAGCTTTTATGGGCCATGTACTTTACCCGTTATGGGCATATATTCTCAATTTACACTATTTTTCTTAGATGAATTTATCACTTGGTAAGAGCACATGAAGGTAATTCAGTCATGCTCTGTAGAACAGAATTGGTTTACAAATGTGCATGTTACTGTTAACTGTATTTTGAATAAAATAAGCATAAGTTTAAATGTTACATTTTGTCAGACGATGGGATTTTTGTACATAAAAAAGCTACACGTGACCATATTAACACAAACAAATATCTAACAGTAGATAAGGTTTTTAAAAAAAATTGTGATCCGTCATTGCAACGATCTGCCTTGCACTGCGCTTGTGTTGGATCTGGAACGTGGCGTCGAGTGCTTCTCATTCTGACATCGCACAGCCGGTGGATTGGCGATGGGGGCAAAGCCGCGGGGTGGTTCGAGAGCGTCCGCGCGTGCTGCTCTCGACGTGCAGACCGGTACCGGGAGGACGTCGGAGCGAGAGGCTCGGAATACAAATT